TCTTATCAAAGAAATGAAAGATCTTGGATTGAGCAATGCTGTTATAGTGATGGACAATGCAAAATATCATAAAGGTCTCCCTGTGGATACTAGTACACCTAAATATGGACAAAAGAAAAGTGTGCTACAGAGTGCTTGCACAAAGTATGGAATTCCATACGCAAATGAAACGAAGGCTGGGTTGTGGAAAAAACTACGTGTACATGTCGATAAAATTGACATAGAGGTTGTGTCGATGGCCAAAGCTGCTGGCCATCAAGTTGTCTACACTCCTCCCTACCATAGTGATCTACAACCTATTGAGACTGTATGGGCAATTGTCAAAAGCCAGGTTAACTCTTTTAGATATATTGGGGACAGTTAATGAGGAACGTTCTTGTGAGGCTGAAGCGAGCGTTCGAGGACTTACAGGCAGCCAGCATCAAGGGCTGCATCAACAAGGCCGACCGTCAACTCTACAAGCGTGCGGAGTACATCAAGGAGCAGCAAGAGGACGATGCAAGTGAAAGCGAAAGTGACAGGGCCAGTGACAGCGACATCGACGAAAGTAGCAGTAACTCCAATCCGACTGTAGGCGTACAATTCTCGCCTTTGTATGCGTTGGAAGTGTCATTTACCGAGGGACTCCAGCCAGCATCATTATTGAGTGATGGCCTACCACGTTTGATTGGATAACGTGTTTTGGATAAAACCAATTTGCAGCCGATGATTTTGAAATTCGCACTGCACAAGGTTGCAACCTATCCAGGTTCTAAATTTTAGGTTGCGGATAGAATAGAACTGGCGTTTGCGAAATCTGTCTACTGTAAATTTTCTCGGTTTACGGTCGTCAGTAAACATAAACACCAAATTCCCGGATAACGTACATTTATCCGAAATTGTACCGGATACAACAATTGCTATCCGGGAAAACCGAAGTTTAATTTTATTGCCAAATATACTTTCGCTGAGGCGGACATGCTCTTAGCCAATGGCAGTGGCAGCGTGACATTTGGTTCTTCATAGTTTGTCAACAAGTGTCTGACAAGTGAAGAGGTGGTATCATCGAACCTTGCCACAGTCGAAGTATCCTTGCTTTAAAATTCCCAAAACTGTTTCGATTGTCACCACCCGCCTCAGGACAATGAGGTCAAGCAAAAGCCCCATTAACAGTAGCATTCTCTCATTTCCCATCTCTTGACATGGTTGCCACTGGACACAATGTCGGCATCGCGTTTGCGCTCAACATCGCCGCGGGCCTCGCCACGTGCATCGGCGGATCGGTCGTGTTCAGCAAGAGCCTCGTGCACCTTGCGAGCCCAAAGAGTCTGTCGGTGGCGCTCTCCCTGTCAGCGGGGGTGATGCTCTTCATTTCGCTCGTAGAAATCTTCGGCAAGAGTGTCGAGGGATTCACGGCGGGCCTTGGCGAGGACAACGCTGACGGCGAGTACGAATGCGACCAGACATGCCAGGGCAACTCGTGGCTCGCGGGCACAGCGTGCTTTGTCACGGGCTTTTGCATCATCTACGTCATGGACTGGATTGTGCACAAAATCTCGCCCGACTTTTCCGACGAACTCGACTTGGCCGACCTGCAGGCGCTCGAAGTCGCCGTGGACCCGACACCCCCCCACTTCCACGCCACGGGCACGCCCATCACCAATTGCCAGCTTGATGATGAAAAGATCATCAAGTTCAACGCCAAGTCCCGCCACCAGCTCAACAGGATGGGGGTCCTCACCGCCGTGGCCATTGCGATCCACAACCTCCCCGAAGGCGTTGCCACGTACATCGCTGCCATGCGGGACTTGCGCGTGGGGGCGGTGCTCGCCATCGGCATTGCGCTGCACAACATCCCCGAGGGCATCGCCGTGGCCACGCCCGTGTACTTTGCCACGGACAGCCGGTGCAAGGCGTTCCTGTGGACGTTCATCTCTGGTCTAGCCGAGCCGTTGGGGGGAGTCTTGGCATGGCTAGTCGTGGGCGAAGGACTCAACCCCGTCGTGGAGGGCGTCATGTTCGGCATTGTCACGGGCATGATGGTCACCATTTCCATCAAGGAGCTCATCCCCACGGCGGTCAAGTACTGGCCACAAGGTAGCATCGTCACGGTGGCGATCTTCGGGGGCATGCTCATCATGGCCACCAGCTTGATCCTCTTTGCCTACGCCGGCGTCTAAGCCAATATAATAAATATATAATAATCGAACGATCTCATACTTTACAGTTAGGGCTGAATACGAATTCACAGGTGCTATAACAAATTCGTACGTCACATGTGTCCAATCCTAGTACTATTAGTAGTACAGTGAACTTGGTAATAACTCGCAAGCGTGGCACCCCCATTTTTAGTTCGTCATAACATGAGGTTCCTTACGATCCATCCTGCATTGAGTTACTTCTACTCAAAAGTGGTCATGGACAACTCACGGATATGACCTGATGGGGCAATCAACCAAGAGCTGAAATCCATTGCAAGCGACAGGGCGTTCAACGAGATCTTTGACCGCGCGTACAACGTACTCTCCACGCCCCCCAAAGGGCCAGGGCGAGGCTACCTCCGGTTGGGGGCAGCCACCACCTACAAAACTCGCACCACGACACTCCGCAGTTGCCACGAATTGTGCCACCAATGAAGCGACTGCATCCTCCACCGACCCCTGTTTCCGGTCACATCCTGCAGCACCATGCGGGTGTTTTGATTTCGCATTACTAGAGTCGGTCAGTTCTACAACTTGCCGAAAATGGCGTTCAATCCTGCGCTGAGCTGTTGCGGGCGGTCGACAATTAAAGCTGATTGAGCTGGCGGGCGTCGATTGGCATTGGGTGATTGGCTGTTCTCACGGACGTGTTGGTCAATGAGTTTGGGAGGCGAGCTCATAAAGTCCCTAAGATGAAGGGATGAAGGGATGCAGTTATCGCTCTCATGACAGCGCGTGGACACGGCGTATGAAAACAGGAGAAAACTGGTTGCTGACCATTATACGATAGATTCTACAGGTAGCAGAGATATGGTATTATTGATTCACAGGAACACTTGCAATCTTGCCCGGTTCGGAAGCCTCTTTGACATCCGTTCTTCAAGTGTGCCGGTACCGGTAGTGGACAAGCGCGAAGTTGCGTGAATGAACTGCTTGTTCAAACTATGGATTACCAGCACACTTAATGATGAAGGTGGCGCATATTCTATGGCCATCTGCCCCTCCATTACTCCCACTTACCCTGTGCTCAAATTCTGTTGACTTGTTGCATACTACTGTAGTACGGTACAATCACAGTCAATGCCACTTTGCAGTTGCCGTTTGCCATTTGGTGGAGGCCAATACTGATCATACTAACATTAGTATAGTAGTTCAAGTGTCTGAAGAGAAGGCACCGTAAACCTTGCCACAGCCGACTATTACTAGTAATACTATTGTGGATTTGGTACAAATTTCCAGACCCGAATCGAATCACGAATCGACGCTATTGGCTAATCCATTGTTGTGCTCTTACAGAAAGGACAAGTATATTCAACCAATCAGAACTCCAGCGTGATTCAATATTGATCAGACATATTAATACCATGGGGGATGAAATACTGTACGACACCCCTAAGAAATACGACCACCTCCATGATCAGATACAGTATATTATTATTAAGTCTTTGTCGACAATAGTGAGGATACTCCTCACTCAGCCCTTCCGGCTACAGAGTGGCGTTACTTTAATCAAGTCAAGCCAAAATATCCTCACGCCACGGGAAAGCGGGTTGTGAGGATACTCCTGAACTTATTCTGAACTCGTGAGTTGTGATTGGTCATATATCTTTTATGTCTGAATAAAAATACAGCGGTACGCATTTCAAAAGTTCGCCATGACATCATTTGAGTGTCGTCGGCAAATTTATATACCAATGATTTGTGCATAGTTGTCAAATGTGCTCGTTCTGGAGATATGGTATTATTGATTCGCAGGAACACTTGCAATCTTTCCCGGTTCAGAAGCCACTTTGACATCCGCTCTTCAAGTGTGCCGGTACCGGTAGTGGACAAGCGCGAAGTTGCGTGAATAAACTGCTTGTTCAAACTATGGATTGCCAGCACACTTAATGATGAAGGTGGCGCATATTCTATGCACAGCCGGGAGTGGCGTGGCGGGTTAAAGAGGCTAGGCGGGAGCAGATTTAACACTGACTGGTCCTCACAACTGGTTTGGCTGGCTCAGAGGCCCTAATCTTCTCCGCCGACCTCTCACGAAAACTAGGTTACCGTTACACTAAAAACGTGTGTTCACGCTCGAAATGCAACAAAAGGGGGGAACAAGTGAATTTTGACTGGACAGCCGGGAATGGCGTGGCGGTAGCCCCAATCACAGTGCACTTGATACCATCTTTGTTGCCATGCCAGCGACTTCATGCCCGTGGATCCGAGGACTAGCGAAGAAATAACTGGATGGACAGATCGCTCGCGCCACCTTTGAAGAATGCTGTCGCGCCGCCGCTTCGGAGCGAGTGTGTCGAGTACTTCGAGGCCGATGGCTGCAGCGGCAGTTTGGATTAGCAGTGCTATTTCCTCGCATTTTATGAGCTTCCCGCGAGACGCACAACACAGTGGGTCTGAAGGGTAGGCCCTGATGTTGGGTACTAGCAGCACCCATTCTGCTACGGGGCAGAGCCAGGGGAGTCCCGATTTTCCGAGTTGGCGTTTTGTGCTTATGCTCTTCCGGTCGGTTTTGGAACTTCGTACGACTAACTGGACTGTGGAAATGGAGTCATAGTGCCGTCTTCGTTGGTCGCGGCGGTCGAGAAACGTGATGTCGCGCACACAGATTGTTGACTACGTGGATGCCAAGCGAAGCCAATTTCTCCGATGTTTTTACTCCAACACCAGTCAACGAGGAAACTGGGTCATTGCAAAATATTCCTACGTCATTATCAATAAACGAGCAAGTTATATTTCTTACCATCGGTCTTGGTGCGTTTGCCTTGAAACCATGGCAAACCCTTGCCTTCCAAGGCCTTCACCCGCCTGATATCTTGTTGCTGTACAGAGAACCGAGGAAAGTGTGGACACCCCCTAAAAACTGGGCCACCTCTGTAATTTTATCATATTTTAATTCTTAATTCAAGACCTCTAATATTTACTATTATAAATGATTTTGGCCAATCCAATTTGTCAATTCAAGTGCTGTTCAACTATTGGCCAGTTCAAATATGAAATTCAAATCCATGAGTCAACATCGCCACAACCCACAACTCAAATGCCCGCGTCAAGACTACAGCCATCGTACTCCTTGGGAGAAAAGCGGGAGCTCCTCATCAAGTTCGACACTCTTGGATGGAATAGTCGTAAGTTTTGCGCGGAGTTTCTTGTCCCTCGAGCTACATGGGCCCGATGGTGAAAGCTCCGAGCAAAGCTTACGACTACTCAGCGCAACCTCAAGCCAAGGTCCCTGGGCCATGGCGCCAAAACAATCATCCCGTTCAAGAACGAGCTTTTGGCCTTCATGAAGGACGTGCGACGTGAGGAACATATCCTCACGTCCATGCACATGGTCACCTACATGAAGACGCACCACAAGCAGTGGCTGGACCAGCACAAGGCCACGAAAAAGGACCCCTACAAGGCTATTCTTGGAATCTCTGCCAGGCCTTCGCCCGTCGACACCGATTTTCCCAGCGGATCCTCCGTATGCTGTGGTTGGAAGACACTCCTGTCAATTCTGCCGCTGAAAAGCGTCTCGCGATGATAAAGCGATCCATTAAAGCCTGGAAAATGATTACTCCTGATGCGATTAGAAGATCATTTGAAAAGGCATTGCCACGACCAGAAATGCATATAATATAATGTGATGTTTTGTCTTGAGGACTTGGTTGTTCTTGTTGTGCTCGGTAGGAGGGTTCTCGAGGTAAACCCCCCTCCTGAATCGATTGGAATGTGTTTCAAGTCGTGGATTGGAGCTTTCCCAAAAAAGGCGACATGTATTTGTAATGGTACATATGGATAAATTCCAGTACATTTAATCCAATCATAATCTTGACCTCGTTCTCCTGCAATATAAAATTGAAATTCTTGGCATTCTGTTTTCCCATACAAAACGACCTGCATGATAGGTCCAGTTTTTCCTCGGTTCTCTGTAGTTGTTCGAACTCGTCGATGGTTCGAATCCATTTTCCAGAATAAAGGAAAGAGTTGCATCGAAGGCCGACGACCCCACCGTTGCCGTCATCAACAATGGCACACCCGAAACAAAACTTTACTTGGTTCGTGTACTTCATGTTCAGGAAGGACTTGGTTGCGGCCAACTCGCCCTTCGGATCGACCTTGCCGTTGACATCGCGGCGAAATCGAACTTGACGCTTCGATCCATTCACCCCGTAGCCACCAATCTTTGTGCGTTTCGTCCCATGAAAAAATTTGACTCGGTTCCAAAGCAGTGACACAAGTTGCGTCCAGATACATATATGGCGGGCAGTCAACAACGCTATCTGCATCCCACGACCATATCCCAAAGCGAGTTGCCAAATGCTGTGCCCAACTAAGGTGTGCTTACGCCCAAGCTGACGATGCGTCTACATTCCCTTGCTTGAGAGCGCCAATCGATGTCACAACTGGATTCATACGGAGGTATGCACTGTACACGGCAGACGTTCCGACATGCATTCGATTGAGCGATAGGCGTAGCTGGTTGACCATGTGGGTTGTCTTGCGCAGCCCCCATCCCCATTCCATGCAATCCGCAATAAAATCGATTTCGATGGAGCTGGGTTCGATCAGCTTGTTGAGGCCACCAGTTTACTTGGGCTCCCCAGCATACGCGACACCAGCCACAGCATACTCAGCAACGCCCTGCAGTACTGAGGACAGATCCGTACGACCCGCTCGGTACACTGAACGTCTTCATGATGCTCCAAATCGCACCTCTGTACGTGGTCAATTCATCGCTTGGAGGTGCATTCAAGGTCTCGATGAAGTAAAGAGCCCATGCCACTTGGTCTGTGTGTCGACGATGTACTCCGGGCTTGCAGTGTGTTGCTGTGACGCCTTGTTTGGGTTTGTCTTTGCTAATTTGCATAGTCGTGGTGTCGGCGCTCTGATAACCTCTAAAGGCTTGGCGGTGCTCTTCGACTTGCATGTTGGTTGCCACGCATGGTTTTGTTCAAACCACCTCCTCGTCGTTTTCGCGGGGACATGACAAATTTGAATGATTTCAAAATTTAGTAGGTGTTTAGTAGTGCGGTGAGTTTAAAAATTAATATTCAACTCACTATTGAGAATCTAGTAACCCAAGCCGTGTTCTAGTAACTTGCCGCCATCTGACGTATATTTTTAATTCGAACTTGTATATTATTTCAAAGGCAGTGGTCGACCTGGATGTTGATGCTTTTCAACGCGCCTTAGCCCATAACTATTGCAGTTCAACGCCAATTCCAAGGCCACACCCCTCACCCTACGTACGCTATCATTCCCCGTAGGGTGATCTATTTTGTTTTGTAATTGCAGCTCTACAAAAATAGTTATGGGAAAAGGCCCGCCAATCCTTTGATCTTGCCCAAACGTACAGTACGTGAGGACACCCGATGCCTGCCATGCAGCAATGCACCATGGGCGTCTGCTTCTCGCGATGACGTCATAAATTTCACTTCGACATGTGGAATATTTTCGAGGTCCTCAAGGATTGGCTAAAATATATTCAATCATGAAATACCATCTCCAGATAACAATGAGTTGCAATCGCATATTTTTAAAAATAGTATTATCCATCACTGTCAGCGTGCATACTTTATTCCATATATACACGAGTGCAACACTGGGGCAGTTCCTACGTGGTTCTAATCGTTATGTTGGATGACTTTTGGAAGCTGTTGGATGATACAATCACGGATTTTAGAAATCCATAAAAATAATTCGTACTAAGTAGTACTAGTACTACCGGTTGTACTGGTACATAATTCGCAGGTAATGATTGAGTGGTGGTATTTTATTGGCTAAAACGTTTTTGGTCACTTCTCACTATGGTATCCGGATCCGTCCGTGTCAACTTGTTCGATTTTCCACCGGCAGGCTTACAACCTGAATCACTCGACCCCCAATGCAACGGGAAGCATCCACGGACGCACGCCTGGCGTCGATGGACCGACGCCTGGATATGGTCTTCGCCGCTATTGACAGTCTTCCTGATCGTATCTACCAACGTCTCCATGAGGCAAAAGACCACGATCCCGTTCGTCCAAAGGCAGACACGATCACGTTGACCATGGCCGAGTTCACACAAGCGCTGATGCAAGCGTCCATGAAGCCATGTGATAGACCATCCGCGTCGTCTTCGGTGCATTCGTTGGTTGAGCAGCATATTCAAACAAGCTTGCGCAAGGATGTTGTCACCACAAGCGGAAACAGTTCTGTGCACATCGACAACACGTTGGGCATTTCAAAGGCAACACCTACGACTTATATGAAGAGTATGCCATCCCCGACAAACTTCGACATGCTGATTGAATCACCGCGATCGTCGTCGAACGACGTCGCGCCTCACGACCTCATCTCAGCCACAGAGTCGAAGAAAAGTCTATCGCTACCCCTCATCGTATCGACTGACACGATACGCGACACGCCGCTCCTATCCCTCTCACGCCTTCCGTCACCTCAAACGAAAAAGCGCAAAATCCGTCCATCCAGTCAACCATATCCTCCCTTGTCGAATGACGTCCATTCCGTTCGTCCATTGAATGCTGTTCTTCCTGTAGCTCCACATGGGAGTTCTGGGTGCGACGATGGAAATCCCGACGACGTGGCCAAGACCAAGTCCAGACGCCACGTGCCACCGCCACCTCAATGGCGCTGCCATGCCACCCTATGTAAGACCATGTGGGTGCACTGGTATCGCGGCGACGCTGCCAACCACGTGGGGCCGTTCCGGTTCCTAAAACTGGGCGCCGACACGGACGCTCAAAGCAGGCGGCTGTTCCGCCGCGGCCGGAAACTCATGCATGCGCTGGAGCGCGTCGTGCTGTCGAGCCACTGGGTCGAGTCCGCCGACGCGATTGCCGCGCTGCCGACGTCCAAGTTTGCCGCGTTGTTCGAGAAAGCATTTGGAACGTTCTTGGGACGGACGCCTCACGGCACGTTGACCCGGCCAGGGTTTGAATTGGTCCGAGCTGACCAAGTCGCGTTCTACATGTACAGCACCGTAGTGGACATCATGACCAAAGCAGAGACATGTGGAAGGTAGACGACTTTGAGAATGCCATTTGATGTGTTGATCTTGCAGTCGTTCGTGTCGAATGAAGTTGAGGAGTATATATTTGGGAACGATCACACACGCAGTTCGTACGTGGATTGGGTGCTACTAACAAGTACTTCAAGTAGTTAGTACTAGTATGTGTTAACCGACAGAGCTACTAGCATCATAACGGTAGCGCTAACGTTAGCGTCGTGGGAACGGTAGTTAGAAAAAGCAGCAATTGTCTCCCAGGATGAAGCGCATTCATACTAGTAGTTGCAGCATGCAGAAATAGGTGGTGGTGTCGTCATGGGGACCAAATGAGAAGACCCCCGTGAGTTGCAAGTTTACTACACCCTTACCTTACTCGTGGCAGTTGGTGATTTATCCGGATCAACGTGGCTGCACATATGAGCTCGTTATTGGAGAATGCGCGACTTGAGCCACTTGGATGTGCGCGAGTTGGTTGAAGCGATATACCACAGTTTGGACGGGCTGGATGACCGACTGGCCAAACTATCGCAACAGATCCTGGGAAGCTACCCTGGCCCCAACCAAGGCCCCGATGTTGTCGATGTCGACGACGCCATAGTCGAACCCATGACAGCATCCTCGCTCTATCCCGAGGCCGACCCGGTGACTGGGCCTAAAGACGTTACCCCGGCGTCGTTCACACAGCCAAGTGCGTCCCCCCCTTGTTTACAGCCTTCCCCCATTTCGAGTGAACACGGAATGAACGCATCGACGGATCAGCTTACCGTTTTGCCCTCGCTCCATAAGGCCGCCCGCACAGCCTGTGTTACCTCTTTGGGGCCAATTGTGCCATCCACACCATCTCCCCCATTGGACACTTTGCATTCGAACAACCCCACTAACTCTCGTTGGAAGGCGCAGGCTTCGAACCGGAGCTTGCCGCCCCCTCTCCAGCCCCCCCACTACTCTCGAATGCAGCCTTCGGCTCCAACACCCGCCAAACGCCCCCCGGACTCTGCGTCTTCTCAACTCTGCCTCGCGCCTCCCCTCCGTGCCCGCGAAACCGCAGCTGCGTCGCACCGCTCACCAGGGCCTTTCCCCCCACTCCAGAAACCACCCCCCCCTCCAGTCGAACCCCTACCACACGGATTATTTATGTGGAAGGACAGTGCCCCCCACCGTGCCCCTGAGTCGTGGCGCTTCCCCTCCACTTCGTGCGCCGCCATGTGGACGTTGTGGTTCCAAGGCGATCCCGTGCATCGCATCGGTCCGTTTCGGCACTTGACCACGAGCGACGTGTCGGACGTGACAAGTAAAATCCAGCTGTACTACGCTCAGGTGGTGATGGGGGATCTCTTGTCGGTGGCCTTGCTGCACGCGCTGGCAATGTCGCCCGATCACATTGCCAAGATGAGTGTAGCCAGCGCGCTGTCCGTGCTGGAGATGGCCATGTCGCTGCGGGGCTTGGAACGAATGTCCCCCCCAACTCGACCAACGACTTCTGTCCCATCGTTGGCGTCCGAACAACTGTACATCCACGTGTACCAACGCATCGCTAACTCTCGGATCGTTCCCCAGAAGCCCCGCCACGATATTCGTTTTTTGTAGTAGTCGATCGTATTACAAAGTGATGTGGTACACATGAGCTTGTCGAGGCGGCCGTGCGTACCTAGTGTAACGATGATTGCGTGGAATTGGATATACGAACTAAAACTGTAAGTTATAGTAGTCTTCACATCGTGCCAAGGTCATTTAGGTCTCGACGCATAGACTAATGGCATGACATTTCCCCGAAAGTGAGTATGGCGTTGCAACACTGTCCGAAACTGACACCGGAACGAGTTGAGACACTTATATTCGTCATCATGCTACTGCCAAACAATACTTCCAATCTCCAACTATGACGCACGTTCAAAACGATCTGAGGTTTAGATTTGCATCGAGCCATCGGAGACTGTAGCATTGTCGTCCACGTCGCTGTCATCGGTGAGGATGACAATCTCATGGGGGCGCTGCGACACCTTGCGGGGGCGGCCGCGGGGGCGCTTGGTCGGCTGAGTAGGCGGCGGCAGCGGCGCAATCTTGACCTTTTTCGGGGCTGGCTCCAGCACGGTCAGTGGAACTTTACGAGGACGGCCTCGCTTTCGCTTCAATGGGATGGAAGCCGCCAAAAGCGGCGTGGGTTCGGCCAGTGGCTCGGTGGGCTGGCTGTGGACTTGCTCCAAGTGGCTGAAGCTCATCTCCAACGTTCGCTGCCAATTGGGCTCTGGGGCGTCCTCCGAGTCGGGTACAATCGTCGAGGAATCGTCTAGTGAGAGAGCAGACGCTTCGTGGGAGTGGGTAGTCGTCGTTGTTACTTCAGCGTGTGCGGCTATTCCAGTCGGATCTGCTGCTTGGGGGGCGTTACTACTGGCTGTAGCCGTCGTCGTCACAGGGTGGTTGGCCGAGGAGGCTAGATATTGGCTCGCTAGAGGCGTACGGGTCAGCGTGGCCGAGCCGAATCGAGGCGGCGGCGGCGGGGACTGATGGGCTACGGGGAAGTTGGTTCCAGCGCTCGACCCTTGTTTAGGCTGTTCCGGTACGTGACTGGAGGTTGAGATCGTTGCCTTGAGCTGCCGTTGTTTCAAGGCAGCAATGTCCGATACCTTCATGCTCGAAGGGCCCTTGGACTGTCGGGGTTTTCGAGGGGGTGAATCCTCGGTGGCATACAATACCATCTTGTCTCGGCCGAGGGAATTGTTGATGGCGAGGGCGGCTTGCAGCAGACTTGGACTTGCCGTGGACGTGGTTTGCTGCGAAGACCTGCTATCTTCGACCTCCGCACGAAGGAAGCTATTGGCGGGGGGCTTGGGTGTCGATGATACAGGTCTTGTCGTTCGCTTGGGGTGGGATGGACGACCAGTGCCTAACGACGAAGCGGCCAGTTGGGTTTGGGCATCGTCAGAGGGGCTATGTGCTGGCTGATTGCTCCATGGGATTCTACTACCAGTTGCAGACTGGCGCTGTATGGGTTTCGTCGTTAAAGGCTGGTTCGTAGGTTTTTTGGATGGCGTGGTAGCCGCAGTGTTGGCTGGGGGTCGACGGTGCTTGGTCGTAGAGGGATTGGGAGCTGAGGCGGCCGACGGCGCCAATGCTGCAGTACTTGTCGAGGCGTCGCGACGCGGGGTGGATGTGATCGCTTCCGTGAAAGCTTTAAGCGCTGTGTTGAAGCCTTGGATGCCGACCACCACCTCGGGCTCCGTGTCGGTTTCGTCGACCTTCGCAGCCAATGCGTGGGGAATCACGAGATTGTTGGAAATGACTTGTCGACGAAGGACTGCCGCTGCCTTTTCAACCCGCTCCAAACGACGAAGGACAGCGGCATTCGACGTGTCCACTTTGGAGCCGACGCTTGCAGGGACATCCCTCACTGCACGTTCGACTGCATCGAGCCGTCGAAGCACAGTCGCATTCATGGACGCCATCATCGCCTCCACAGCCGCGCTCACCTGGTCTGGGAAGGATTGCAGCAAGGACTCGATCTTATTCAAACGACCGTCCAACACGTCTGTGCGGTGGAGCGGCGACGATGCGCGCGGGTCGCTTGGTGGGGGGCCAGCCATTCGCAAGTTGCGCGGCACTTTCGCTTGTTTACTGTTTAAATACCCACTGGTAACAACCGGATTTCGGGTTTCCGGCATCAGATATATTGATACTACGTAGATTTATAATACTATTAATACTTCGAAGTAAGTTACTACTGTACTGGAGTGTATTAATAGTAGGAGTACTAGTAGTACAAGAGTGGTATTCGTATAATAGTATTAATACTTCGAAGTATGTACTAAGTACTCCGGAGTTCAATTAATAGTATTAATAATATTAATATGTAGTACTACGTAGTACTACCATTAGTAGTACCGGTATACTTCAGGGTAAAAAAATATTATTAAAAAAAAAGATTTTGTGATTTATCAAGGTCATCATTTTTACTACGTAGTACTTCTATTAATACGCAGTAGTAACATTTATAACGTTAGTATGAGTTTACTGTACTTTGAGTCACGTCATTCGTAGTCACTGTCAGTACTTATCATACTTTGAATACGTACTACTTTAATAGTACGTATTCAAAGTACTAGTTACCGAAGTAAAGGATCAAGAAAGCAAGCATCTAACGTTGTATTCATTGTCTGTTGTTGGCGTACTGATAATATGGCGGTTGTGGGTACTTGGTCTCGAGAACTTGGCGATCAGTCGGTAGTAGGGGAAGAGACGAGGATGGGGGTGGGGGTGGTGGCTGGAAAGGGACGTGGTGTTGCCACGTCGAGTAGCCCCCACCACTTCCCCTTGCCACAAAAGCGGGATGCTGGGGCGGCGCTGGGTCGTTATGGAACTCTTCCACCAGTGCCGACGACGACGATGCAGGGATCCCAGTTCTTGGCTCATTGCGCGCATCATATTGATCCAGATTCTGTCGGTGAGTAGGTTTTATGTTTTGGTTGAGCGGGGCGTGGTTGGGGGGAGACCGAGCCCGCCTCGACGGCGGTTCCACAGGGGGTTCAAGTAGCAACTCCACGAACCTCCCGTCGTCCGCTTCATCGTCGTCTGGCGGCACATCCTTCCGCTTGATGCCCGTGCCTTTGGTGAGCAAGCGGTGGATGGAGCTCACGACGTACGACGTCGGTCGCTTCGTAGCCACGCGGTGGGGTCCAAACAAGTTGCCGTCGGGGTTATGGAACAACAAGATGTCGAACGCCCGGTCAAAACAGATGCCGAGGTCGATTTCGAGCATCTCTTTGAGATCGTCGAAGCTTTCGGCAAAGCCATGGGCGATCGCCACGTCACTCAGCTTGCGCCACAGTACATTGTTGTTGGACGTTTGTTGGCGGCACGGCTTGATCTTCATGAGACCGGACCGGAGGCACCGAAGAGGTCCTAAGCCGACCTCTGGTACCCCGAGGAACCACCGCAGCCACATCGACTTGCACAGCTCCGACGGGTACACCCACCCTTCGGGGGTTACTCGCTGCGTGCCGTCCGACCACGTAAACGCCGACGGCGCGTCTTCGTTGGGCGGAGGCGTCAGCTTGTCCTTCAAATCGGACGGCAGAGCATCGAATACAGCTCGAAACGGGAGCAGCGTGGGGTCCTTGGCATGCAGGTGATCGGCGAGGTTGTCCGGATGGGCGAGCAAGATGAGGTCGAACGTGCGATCGAAGATGGAGAGACTCGTGTCCAGGGGAAGGTCGTGGAGAGATGCTTCGGACGCGATGGTCGTGTCTGTCGCGATGGCCGTCGTGATGAAGTGGCGCATGAGCAGGCGGGCATCCCGCAGCTGTCGCTTCGAGTGGAAGTCCCGCACGTCGCAGAGTTTGAGCAGCCGAAACGGGCAGATTGGAGGAGAAGATGACGTCGCGCCGTAAAACCAAAGTGTCCACAACGAACGACAAGTTGGGGTCGGGAACTGCCACGTTTCTGGCGCGAGGCGCGTGGTGCCGTCCGACCAAGCAAACGACCCAGACGAGGGATCGGAAGAAATCGTATCCTGTGAGGGCGGTACCAGGTGTGGCATGACGTGGGTGGTTACGGCGTCGACCGTCACGGCTGGAAGGTGACCAAGCTGCTTCTCCATGGCCTCCACGCGCGACCGACCTCGGGCAAGGGATGCTTCCAGCGAGCGGAATTTGGCATCTTGAGCATCGAGCACTGTTTCCAGCTTTTGGTCTATCTTCTTGAAGGTGTCCTGGAGCATGCTCAAGCCCACATGAGGCGACGAGTAGCTGTAGTCCTGTCCATTGGCAGTGTGCGCAACGGACGTGGCGGACCGTTGACTGTTGTTGTGATGCATGTTGCGGTTTCGAGATTATCCGGTATCCATTTTATCTGGATTATTGAACAATAAATAGCATTTACTCATTTGTGTCAACCAATCAAATCATATAAAACAATAAGAAGAATCGCTTTACATCATTTTAAAATCCTCTTATGGTAAGCGAGGATGGCGACCGATGACTTCGAGGCAACGCTCGAGCACGGGTTCAACCACATTGACGAGAAGGTCGAGCTGATCATAGACGCACAAGATGCCAGATTCCGCAAGCTGGAGGAAGATTTGAACGCTTGGAACCGTCGGCTGGACTCAATGGAGCAAGAGATCGTCCGACTGCCCGAGCGAGTGTGTTCGATGATGTTGCAGCATGTCGATGCACTTCCCGCGGACTTTCACACAGCGATGGCGACGCTGACGGAGTCTGTCTTGCAGAGTCTTCGAACGTTGAACGATGCAGGACCTCCTCCTCCTGCACCGATGGCGGCGGATGAACCCACCTTCGCGGTTCGCACCGACGACCACGGTATGGACATGAACGAATCTCCACCACATGGCCATCCTCGACCTCCAGCCGACGTGGATGCAGTGGACACGCGTCCCAAGAAGCGGCGGCGGAAGCCTCGACCGAAGAAGCCGCCGCACATCCCCGAGCACGACTACTTTCCGAGCCATCTGGACCGCGTGACCCCCGTCCACGAGCACGTGTGGGCGGACGGGATCACGCGGCGTACTCCGGAAGCATGGCGCTTTCCAAACAGTCAAGTCCGGCTGTTGTGGGCATATTGGTTTCGCGGCGACGAGCCGAATCAAATCGGTCCGTATCGGTTGTTGAACGGGTTGGATTTTGGCACGCGGCTCGCGTGTCGAAGCAGTCTGTCCCATACCCGCGTGCTCATGAAGATGTTGGTGAGCTTGGCGATCGAGCACGGATTTGCCACGTCAGAGGACGCCATCGCGGACATGTCGCTCAAGGACACAATGCTAACCTTTGACAAGGCATTTATCGAGTTTCAAAAGGTGCACCCGACGATGACGTCGTCGAGTCATTCGCTGGGGGTACTCTACAGCCGCCTTCCCCGTCGTCGGCGGAAGCAGCCGGAAGGGCTGAACGCGAGCCTGCATGTGTGGGCGGACGGGTCGGATCGGATGCAAGTGCCGGATGGGTGGGCGTTCCCCAACACCACGTGCCGCGTCATGTGGCCGTGGTGGTTTCTCGGGTCGCCCGACATTCAAATAGGACCTTATCGGCGCCTGCGCACTATGGACTTTACCACGCCCGAATCCAAAGATTTGTTGATGCAAGCACGGATGGCCATGCACGAACTAGCTCTAGTCGCGGTGGCCAACCAGTGGGCGGAGTCGGAAGACGCCATGGAGGAACTTGCCCACGACACGTTGATGGACATTTTTGACAAGTGCTATTTCATCCTTATGCACCGCAACCCTAAGGGCAACTTGGCCGGACCCGGCCGCCTCGAGCGGTCGACGGTGCACTCGCTGTCGATCCGCACCGTGGCCAAAGCCATCCGGCGCGCGAGGAAGCTCCCCATCAACCCCCCGACCAAAGTGTTTGAGTGGGCGGACGGCACCCGTCGGCAGACGCCAGAAGAGTGGCGGTTCCCAAAGGAGATGACGGCGCGGGAGCTGTGGGCGCGGTGGTTCCTCGGGGAGCCCGACACCCAAGTCGGTCCATTCCGGCTCGTGGCCACCCTCGACGTTAAAGACTTTGACAGCCGCGTGTACTTTAGCCGCGCCAAGTTTCTGCTCCAGGACTTGGTCGAAATCGCCAAGCGCAAACACTTTGCCGACTCGGCGGACGCCATCGCGGCGCTGCCAGAAGACGCGTGCATGGCTGTGTTCGATCAGACTTACCACGCCCTCTTCCACGACAACCCGCTCGGGTACGGCAACATTGGCGGCACCGCGCACGGACTCCTGCGGCCCAAGCGCGGCCCGTTATACATGTGGAAAACAGTACGAGAGTGCATCCGAAAGCTCAAGAAGCTCCACCAAGAAAACGCGGCCGACGACGTCCAAGCAGCGGTGGCACAGGACACCCACAACAACGATGATGATCACCAACAGACACGTGACATGGAGTTGGAATGATAGGTTGGTGCGTCTAACTAGTGAGATAGGACACGGAGGAGCTCGAAGAAGAAAGTTGGAGGGGGTAGTTATGATGGATGTAGTAGGACTACCGGGGGTAGTAGTAGGCAACATACTAATAACGTTCAACCCATTTACACAAAGCCATGCAGAAAGCCATGCGTGACTTGTGTGAACCTGCTTCCGCGACGTACTCTTCCAAATAGCATAAGACTGCGGTAGTTAGTTCTATGTGCCTGCAGGACGTTTCGGGGCTGATCTTATGTTTGGTCTTATTTCGACCAGGATGATTATAATAAGATCAACGGGTGAGAGCATAAGACCAAGAATGATCCTAGGAAGCGGTATCCGTATAAACCTGAAGTACAGGATAAGACTGACGGATGGAGAGGCTCTCAATACAGTCCTATAAGTCGACAGTCAAATGCTTGGGGTCGCCATGTCTTATTCAAGCTGATCTGTTTTTCTCGAGAACTGTAGGCAGGTTTTAATAGCAGGATTGCAATTTCGTTCATTACCAGTACTAATTACATGTTATACACATTGTTGCAACTCATTCGTGTTTGTGCTTCTACCCAGTCTTTCTCTTTTGTTCCCTCGCCATGATCTCATACACGGACCCGTACATGTCATACATGACTTGGTCAGCCCGAAGCTTTTCAAACCCGTCGCGCGTCAACGTGCCGTCGGCGCCGGTTTTGCCCAGAAACTTGTCAAACGATAGGTCAAACACCGCCATAAACTCACTCGGCGCCATCTCCGAGATGTGCTCCAACGACACGGCCAGCTGGCTCGCGATGGCAATTCGAATCAGGTGGTCCATCACGGCACGGCCTCGGTCGAGCAGCGTCCGCGAGTTGACGTCACTCACGTCCACCGACGTGAGAAACCGAAACGGGCCGATCTGGTTGACTGCGTCCCCTCGGAACCAGTAGCACCACATGGTCTTGCACGTGCTCGCGGGGCACCGCCAATTCTCGGGCGCGCGTCGCTTCTGGCCATCCGTCCATTCAAACAGACCCGTGTCGCTACAAAAGCGGCTGGTTTTGGTCGAGTCTTCCACGTTCGTATGCACGGACGTGGCTGGTGGCAGGTCGTCGGTGCTGCTGTCCTGTGGCGCGATGGAAGTGTGTTGCAACTCCGTCGAAGCCCGCTGGGCGTGTTGCTCGTTGGTCAAGTGATCAACGCTGCCATGAGCGAAGGCGGGGCAGGCAGAGGTACCACCATGTTGATTCGGGGGAGGGGGGGGGGTGAGATGTGGTACGGCGGCCCATCGCGGGGGCTTGTGCTGGTTGGGGGTATCCAACGGCGGTCGTTCCACAAGTGTTGGAAGGGGAGGGTATACTTGTGATGCCCCAGGAGCAGCAGCATTGTGTTTGGTCGACGGTGACGGGGGCAGTGGAGGCGACAGCGCAAGGCCGCTGGGCCCCACGGCGCCATGTGGTTGGCGGAGGTGGGCCAATCGAAAGCCCGCTTGCAGTCGCAACGCTTCAAACTCTGCTCTAGTCGGCGGCGGTGGGAAGCGGTGCATGGAGGACGATGGAAACGGACCTGTCGGACCTGTCTTGACCGGACTGGAGATGGCCGATGTGTTGGCAGTCGTCAATCCACTCGACGGAGGTCTTCCGTGGCTGCTGGCGGATGGCTCCAAAGCCCCGCCGGCAGTCGCACCCTCCAACGTCGTGCCGTTCTCAACAGGCAGATAGCGGCGCCGCCCCGGACTCGTCGGGAGCCACTCCATTTCTGACGCGTCGGAAAGGTCCATGTCCTCGTGGCCTGCAGCTGCTTGCTGGGCGACTGTAATGGAGGTCGACACGGTCGGATCGGCGTCTGGGAGCTGGTGCCGCGTCGTCACCGATCGGGTGGCTATACCGTCGGGAGGCGTCGTCGTGCTCGACGGGCCTTTGTACGGCTCCTCGATCTCGTCCACCTTTCGCGGCCGCCCGCGCTTTTTCTTGGGCCGACCCACTTGCCGAGGCACCACGTCGTCGAGGCTTTGGCTCTGCGTTTCTCCCTCCTCTGCCTTGATAGGTTTCACGAGCGGACTTGGAATGTCTGACGACGAGTTGTGGGCGCCAAAAATGTCTTCAAACAGGTCCGACGGGGTGTCCAGAATCGTCGGGGCTTTGGGAGGAGGTACCAGTGCGGCCTCGTTGTTGACTTCTTTGTCGGCGGTTTTCTGTCGCTTCGACAGGCTGCATTCATCGTCGTCATTTGCAGGTTGGTCAGTCGTCACGTTGCTTGTCTCAACGCCTCCGGTATCTATCAACACTGGCGACGTACGGCCCAACGACGTTCGCTTGGGCCGCCCCGCCCCCCCCCGCCGCCCCCCAACCAGGGGCATCGACGTATCCTCTGGACCTGCAGCTGTCCACCCTTTCGGTCGACCGGGGGGGTTCTTTCGAGAGGCCAAATCGGATGGACCTCCGATTTTCTTGGGTCGCCCTCGCCGCTTGATGGGAACCTCCCCACGAGGACTTGCATTGCTGTCAGCGTTTTGAGGCCGAGGGACGTCGTCCAGGTGCGTCCGCCACGACTGAGCATGATGCTTGGAAGCTGGCGACACGGCCAACCCGTTGTCGTCCGGTTCCGTCCGTGCGACATCTGATGGTGTCTGGCGGGCCGTCGACTCGTTTGTTCGTCCTTCGAGCAGCAGCAGCCGCGCCGCCTTTTCCTGCTTCCAGCCTTTTTTGGGCCCACGTTTTTTCTTCACCACTGGGTTGTCGTACGAAGTGGTTCTCGACGCGGCCGGGATCGTCGTAGACGGAGACAACATAGCGCGAGGGGTCGTAGGCTCGGGCCGTGGCGGCGACGCTATCAATTCCAGGTAATCCTCTTCGGAAATGTGAATGTCGAGTGTCTTTTGCACTTCGCTGAAAGGAGGGTGAATTGTCGCGGGTTTCTCGGGGGCTGGTGGCTCCTGCTGGTCCGTCGAGGTCTTTGGATCAGCAACGTGCAAAGACACTGCAGAGTTGCGCGGAACATCAACAGAAGCAGGGTGGTTGAACATGGCTTGCCGAGGGGCTCGTCGAGGAGAAGAAAGGGAACGGTGGGCTTGATGGTCTAAGTTATTGAATGCGGTGATGGAGGCTGCTCGTGGCGATGACGGGGATGTAGCACTCATTGGGACGGCAATATGGTGCAAAAATGATGTTGTGGGCCCATCGCGATGGTCTCGGAAGCGGTCGTGATGGAGCGGATTCGCGCCGTGGGAATTGGGGCGAGGGATATCACCCGAGGTTATAAATCGAGTGCTTTGGGGCAGTTGCTGTTTGGATTGAGACGACAGGATAGACGAAGGTAGAATCGTTACAAGTGCCTGTGGTGGGTCCGCGCGTGACCGCTTCGCCACATCCAACGTTTTCAACGGCACGTCCCTTTCACGCGCAAGCGTTGAGCTTGGACCTCCGCTAGGGGATGATGGAAGATTCAAGCCGTTCCTTGTGTGCAATAGCGCTGTCGTCAATGTGCGCATCGCTAGCGTCAGCTCCGTGCTGCTAGTGTCCGGGGGTCCAGGAGTCCCCTTTCCTGCTGCTGATTCGACACCACCGGCCGCAGCTACTGGCTTCCCGTCCAAAACACGCGACACGCCAAACGACAATCGGTCCACGCGCGTCTCGATGCCTTCCAAGCGCTGGCGGATGAGGTACAATGTCTCGTCCACGACGGCCTCCCGTGCCATGGCTTGTCGGGAGATGGCGAGGCAGATGCGGTCCGGAAGGCTATCCATTTGCCTCTCCAGTGCATCCATACGCCGATGCAGCAGATCCGCACTCGACGTAGCGCCGCCGGGGTCCGTAGGTCGCAGCCCCGGCCTTTCTTCGTTTGTTGCTTCCATCGAACAGGGTGCGAATGGGAAGTTTTAACCTGCCGAGGGAGTTTAGAATCCGGATAAATCGTTATCCGGGTGATCGCACGTGGTTGGACTTTCGCAGATTAATCGACCAATCAGGGATACACATAACATGCTGCAATGACGATCACCACAGCTGCTGCATGCTTGGACAAGACCTTCTAGACACGAGGCGGCATCGAGCATCTTGCTGGCGTGATCTCGCTCCAGAAGTCAAGCCACACCGTCGGCATACAGTAACGATGGGCTACTGTACTACAGTAGTTAAAGCCAGCCTTGCAATTGCGTGGATTGGATTGGTTTAAACAAACTCAAAATACCCAATACCACTGATTCTGATTCATTTGGAAAAGACAATCATGGCTGCCACCACTCACGATGTCGCGGCGAGCCTCGGCCATGTACATCAGGTGCTTGGGTCGATACATCGCCGCCTGGATGCGTTGGAGAGACAGATCGAGATCCTTCCTCACCGTTTGTGGACTGGGCTCGATGACCGTCTTGCACCACCAGCGCCAGGGTCCGACATGTCTCGCGCGCTCCAACTAGCCTTGAAAGCGTTCACGGACACGATGTTTGCCTCCATGGCGAGTACACAACCGGTAGACGCACCATCGTCTGTGTCCACGTTCGTGTCTGCTCCTACCGTGTCTCTTTTCGATTCTGCCATTCCACCTGCCCCTCCCGTGGCAGTCAACGGCGACCACCTTGTTTCGACGCCGCCATCATCCACAGCTATCGTCCCAGCCAAGAGCCCTGTCGCTTCGACGGCCACTGCCATACCCAAAAATACGCCACAGGCACGAGCCCCGCCTCCGTGTATCCCGCCGCGACTATTTGAATGGGCAGACGGGACGACCCATCGCCGCGTGCCGGAGACGTGGTCGTTCCCGAAAAAGGCCAATCTGCGGACGATGTGGGACTTGTGGCATTTCGGCGACACAACCGTCGGCGTGTGTCCGTTTCGCTTCCTTCCATCGCAGGACCTCAAGGAGCGAGAGGACAAATCGTGTCTGTCCCGCGCCAGCCGCGTCATGCGCACGATGGCGACGATTGCAATCGACCACGAGTTTGTCCAGAGCGAAGACGATATCAGCCAGCTGGGTCCCACCGAGTACGACGACGTGTACAACCGCACATTTCACATTTTGATCAACCCCCCCACGAACCACAGCATTGGCGAGAAGCCCATGGTGAACGTCCAGCGTCTCGCGCGGTTTTCGTTCCAGAACGTATACAAGCACTTCTTCATCACCGAGGGCAGCCGCGCCCGCCACGCGCCCCCCAAACTCCCCGCGGGATGGGACATGCCGCGTAAGATGAACTGCCGAGACGTATGGCGGCTGTGGTTCCACGGCGACCGCGACAACCACGTGTGTCCGCTGAGCCAGGTCACGTACTGGGACTTTAACGGCAGCAGCAGCAAGAAGGACGCCGGCTCGCGCCTCGGCAACGCGCGGCTGGTCGTGGAGCGCCTCGTGCAGATGGCCGTGTCGGAAGGCTTCGTCGCATCCGAGGACCTGCTCGGCGAGCACATGGACGTGCAGACGCTGGACACGGTATTCGATAACGCGTTCGACATGCTGCTCAACTACAATCCCACCGGCAACCTCGCCGGACCAGATGTCGGCCAGCTGCGCGGGGAGAAAGCGGACGAGTACCTGTACAACTCTGTGGCCAAAGCCATACGAGACATGGACAAGAAGCGGAAGCGCGTCGAGTAAAAGTGAACGAGTACACGAAATCGTCGAGTTTTATCAAATAACCTCCACCTAGTGTTAAAATCGATGGGTTGGAAATACTAGTACAAATTCAAGACTTGGTGAAATATATCGATTGCATCCCGACATATATTGGGCCACTCGCTCAATTGAGCACATACATAGTGAAATATAAAGAACGTCGCTTGAAATATATTGCAACCTTCTTGGTTACAGGCGAAATATAATGAATATACAACGAAGTGGAACCACCGCGAATTGCTTGTTCATTTCGCGAAAAAGTATGGTGAGGTCCTGAAGTTAACCGAAAAAAGGTGTAACGTTAGTACAAATTGAAGTTTTGGTAACTTGATGGAATATATCGCATTCTTAATGAGTACTAGTAGTACTAGTCGTTGTAGTACATGTACTAGTAGTATTCACAGCAACCAACAACTTTGAGTCTGTGCTCGTCAAAGCTACCTCCTGTGAAAACTCGTTATGTCGTCGTTTTGACTGTAGATACAGTGGGCTAGGTAGGCCACGACAGGACTTTTATAGGTTCCAGCAACAGAATAACGGTGGTTTTATATACGTACACTAGGCTCTGTGTTCAGAATTTTGGCACATTGTCACAGCATGTGAATCTCCACCGCGTCGCGCTTCCGTTTGCGGCGTTCGTTCACGAGGACGTTGTACACTGTCGCAACCATGTACGACTCGGCCTTGTCTGGCCTGAGCTTGCCCACGGCGCCGGCCAGGTTTCCGTCCGGATTGTCAAACAGCATCGCATGGAACGCCCGATCAAACAAGGCGTTCGAGTCGTCGGTCGACATGGCGGCCACGGCGTCGGCGGACACCCGGCCGAGCTGCAGCAGCGTTTCCATGACAACTTTGGTCCGAGACTGCTGCATGCGGGTGCTTCCTCCAGCCGACTCGTCCAGAGCCACGTGCCGCAGCGGACCGACGTCTGGCGTGGCCGGGTCCCCGTGGAACCACAGGTGCCACATGGTTCGGCAAGTCGTGGCCCGAAAGGAAGAGGCCAATACATTGGATGAAGGAGGATGATTCGACGGATGCAAGTCATCGTGGAGAGATGCCGCGGAAGAAGACATATGGGGCTCGAACGTGGTGTAATGAGATGGCACTGTGGTGTAATGAGATGGCACTTGAGAAGGACGAGGTGTGAACGACATGGGATCCAACATGTCAAGGTGCTGACGGCGCTGGGAAGGATGGTGATTCGTGGCAAGATGGCTTGTTGGTACTGATGTTGTGTGGAGATGTTGTGACGAGGGGGTGGAGGTGGACGACTGAGATGTAGTCGGCCAAAATCCTTCGTTGTTTGGCAATGTGATGGACGACGCCTGGTGTCGCGACTGCAGCTTGTCCGGCAACTCGTCGAGATCCTTCTCGATACGGTCTAGGCGTTGATTCATGCGCTGGAGGGCTTCGTCCACCACTTGTGACGTGTCAGCCCATCGTCGAGCCAGCGGTCGACAAATCGAATCGGGCAACGCATTTGACCGTTTCTCAAGCGAACCCACGCCTTCTTCGACGGCACGAAGAAGGCGGTCGAGCTTCGCGTCAATGTCCTGGATGCGGCTTTCTTGGGCTTGGAGTACTAGCTCCGTCTTGGCACTCATGGCGCGCAAGTCCCGCTGGATGGACGCCAGACTCGCGGCATTTGCATCGTCGGCGGTCGACGCCATAATTGTGTTGATGTCAATATATCCGTATCCGGATAATGTTGGAGACGGGTCGTTTACAGTACATATTGCAGTTGGTTGTGGCCGAAAGGTCGCAAAAGTGACAAAAGGCTGTGACCACCTGCTTACTGTATTGTATCGAATCGAAACAATACAGTCTTGACTTTCCGCGGCTACAGCGTGAGTTCGTGCAGAGAACTCGATGACAATTGTAGAGACCTGGTCCAACTTGTATGAGAATACAAGGGTAGGTCGTGCGTAGCCCTCGTGGATTGAAAACATCGATTTTAAAACCATAGAATCAGTGTAACGTTAGCGCCCAGATACGTCTGCAATCTATGGAGGGAACTCTATGCTCTACGTACTAAGCTACATGTTGCAACACCCCAACCATTCGAACCCCTCCATTTCCACACCATCAATTCCGCGCCGCAATACGGTATTTTCGGTGAATTACTTGGACGTTTCGAACGAGAACGGCACGGTTGGCAGTGTCCCCCCATGCACAGCCCTCGGGCCGATGGGTCGCCAAGAAAGCTCCACCACCGACGTGTGGTCGGTCTCCTTGGACTTCCAGTGTCAGCGCATTGACGGTACAACCTGCATGTCCTTAAAAATGGAGATACGGAAACACACCTACATGGCCTCGCTCTGTCGCTACATGTAGGTCCATGAGGAAGGTCTCGGACACGGACGTGGCGGGCTCACACATCCAACTTGCCAAAGTAGGCAGAATGGGCAGCAACCATTGGCGACATTTCGTTGAGGGATCGAAAATTCGCGGGAGTAGAGAGAGGAGCCCGTGCTGGAGGTATACCATGGCGCCAGACTTGCGTCGATGGCTTCAAGTGTCGTGGGGTACTGTAGGGATTGGACTTTTGTAGGTACTAGTACATACATGTACTGACTGTACACTGACATGAGTTTGGGGTGGTATACAGTGTACTGTACTATTAAAGATATGTATTTTAATACATATTTTTAATAATATACGCCTGTATTGAAGTATACTGAGCTTAGTATCTGGGAAAGTAGGAAATAGATGTACTACTACTTTACGTACATACGGTACACCACGGGAGTTAATAAAACGAAGTAGTTTTAGTAAAACAACGCAAGTTTTAGATCAGCCAATGACAGAACGGTGGGGAAGCTTACTTTTACGTCGAGTGCAACTTCAGTTTAGGTTAAACTTGGATGGTTTTAGGAGCTAAAACAACGGGCAAAATATGTGAAAGCACAATAGTAGCAATAATGGTGGCTCGAGCGTTACAGTACGACGACAATAGTTTTATACAAGTACGTACGTAGTACATGTACTGTACGTCTGTGTAAGTACTTACTCATGAGGACCCCTCTGTGCTGTAATGTGTGCGTTGGAGCGACCTGCTCAAGTAGTCGCAACATCATCAGAGATAACGTTTCACTGTGCTACAAGTGCTATTACGTAGTTATCTGTTTTATGTGTCTACATAAAGGCTCCAAAATTTCGGGGTTTCGAATGGTGTACAAAGGTACACTATTTTCAGTAGGTAAAGTGTACACTGTACGGTACAATTTGAGTAGGTACAGTGTACCGTCCTATCCATACCGTGGAGGAGACGTCAAGCGGCAAAAGCGGCTTTATGATCTGATGCAACGAAGACCACAATGTCTTCGTACATGTCGCCTTGAAAATGGAATATGACGCCAGGATGGCATCGGAGGTCCGCGCCGCTCGGGATGCCGCCGCCGATGTCATGTGTCTGTCGTGTTGGCCTTTTTGTTGGCTCGATCATAACAATTCACAACATTTGACTGTGAGTTCCTATTTTTGGATTGGATAATTATGACCAATCAGCATCGCGGAATCATCATCATGTGTCATTTTGGTCCATCACGATGCCAGGTAATGCAACGAGAACAAGCCGAGTGGAAATGCCTGCGGCTGCAGACCTGACGTGCTGCACCGGCCGATGTATTCGGCTAGAGGAAGCCCTTCAGAAGTGGGAGCATCGTTTGGTAGCACTGGAAGAGAAGATGGACGCGCTTCCAGATACGCTGTGCCAAGCGATGGAAAGTCGACCACTGCCCTCGTCGGCTGTTCAGCATGTCCACCAAGCGCTGCAAAAGGCGCTGCAAGTGTTTGCAGATGCCATCACAGTCCCTGACAGCTCGAACCTCTCGCGTCCGTCTATTTCACCTCTGCCAAGTGAACCTGTGGTTGTCGTCCGGTCAATCGTGCAGCCGTCGTCACCTCCTCCACTCCACCGCACGTCCAGTTTCCACAAGGCCAGCATTGCCAATCTCATGTCGTCTGCGAACGTTTCCCTTCCGACATCTCCTGTCGATTCGACGCCGTCTCTATCCCCTCAGCCACCCATGACCTACCACATTCCGTCTCCCCTTGCATCGTCTTCGTACTGTACTCCACCTCAAACATGCTACGATCAACCTCGCGTCGCGTCCAGTGTTCAATTCACGCTCAACGCTTCCATCGACGACGAGCTCCACGAACAACACTGTCGCGTAAAGCAGTCTCCACCACCGTCTCCGCCCCGCCCATCAAGCCAGCAGCCATCCCACAGCTTTATATGTCCAATCCCATCAACGACCCTTCTTCCTCGCGCGTCATCGCCCTCAACCCACGCCATCTCCATGCCGAACGCCCCGCGCAGGTCCTCCTGGCACCCCCCAAATGCGCACTTGTCGCCCCCTCTGCCAATTTTCCACTGGTCCGACGGCACGAGACGCCACGCCCCAGAGGCATGGGAGTTCCCATCCACCACCTGCCGAGCCATGTGGCAGCTCTGGTTTCTCGGCGACTCGGCCGTGGGCATCGGTCCGTTTCGCCACCTCTCGAGCTGGGACATCGAGCGGTTCGCTAAGGACACGACGAGCCGCAAGCAGCTGTCCCGCGCCCGCACAGTCATGAACAAACTGGTCGACATCGCAGTCGACCAGTCGCTCGTGTCCAGCGCCGACGATCTCGAAGGCGCGGTGTCGGCGGCGGGGCTCGATGCTGTCTTTGACAGGGCATTTGAGATCCTCTTGCACACCAACCCTGGCGACCTACTCCAGGGCGCCGCGGGTCACGGCACCAAACACTTGCGCGCAGATAAAGCGTGGACGTACACGTACTCGAGCGTCCATACGTTCATGGCCCCTACGTCGCGGAAACGAAAACTCGCCCACCCGACGTCATCGTCGCTCGTCCCATCGTCCCCAGACCCCTGACTTATCATATATATATATATAATATACACACATCCATGCTTGTAATGCTATCAAAGATCAAGCGATATTTGAGCTTGTTTTGTTGTTGGTTTACGGCAGCGTGTGACAACGTACACTGGAAGTCATAAACTGTGTGACACCGTTGGCACTTTAAAGGCGACGTGTATTACACTTGTGCTAACGTTATCGAATCGGCCAGCCATTCAACTCGAACTCATCACGCGCTGCGTGCTAGTACATGGTTGCCATAAACTGCAATCATGCTTTGACTCCATCTATACAGTAGTATATACTAACAGTTTCTACTAAGTAAAACTACATTGTAGTATTGTGGATTCGGTACAGATTTCCGGACCCCATCGACGCTATTGGCTAATCCAATTTTGAGTGGATTTGATTGGCTCTTACAGAAGGGACAAGTATATTCAACCAATCAGAACTCCAGAGTGATTCAATATGGATTCGACAAATCGCGCGAATTTTGGAAGTTTATAGCGAATTCACAATAGTACGATTAATATTAATACAACAATTGCTTTGGACAATCCTAGTTAGTACTACATGAGTACTAATATTAATAGTTCGTACTATGAATAATGTACTATTAATAGTATGTAGTAACAAACCCCATCATTTTGTATGCAGGAGGGTACTTTGTGTACGTACATCCAAAATCCCTAGTACTTTGTACGTTAACCTCGTCACGACAACTTTAGGGTGTATCGATCCATCCAGTTAGTTATCCTCTTCTTGTACTTTCTTACAGCTCGTACTGGCCGCCGGTTTCATCGTCGGCTCGTTTCCGTTTGCGCTGGGACATGGCGCTATAGACCGTGCCGTACGAGTACCCGGCCATCTTTTCAGGGCGGAGCTGGCCAGGGGCGTCCCCCACCAGACTCCCGTCGGGGCTGTCGTGCATGAGCACGTCGAATGCTTGGTCAAACACGGTTTCCAACTCGACGGGGGACATGTGGTCGAGCTCGTCCACTGACACGGCAAACCCGTGCGAGATGGCGATGTCCACGAGCTTCTCCATGACGCCGCGGGCGCGGGAAAACTGGCGGCGCGCGGGGCCATCCGTCACCTCCTTGTCAATATCTCGGGGTCGGAAGTGGCGGAACGGCCCGATACCGTTGGAATCGTCGCCCTTGAACCAAAAGAACCACATGGTCTTGCAGTTAGTCGCGGGGAACTCCCAGTCTGGCCCGTGCATCGCATTGTGGTGGACCACCGGCAGGTTGGGCAGCTTGTGGCCAGATGAGTCAAACCCGACCGATCGTTGTGCCTTGCGCTTGCCCTTGATCAGCCGCTTGTACGCGTTCGTGTACGTATACGACGGTGCTTTCTCCACAACATCCGCCGGTTCGTTTTGAATCAGCCGGGGAAACACCTGGTCAAACAGGTTGGCGCGGTCCGCGGGCGTCATGGTCGAGATAAACTCGACCGATGGCACTAGGTTTTGGTCGAGCGCGATTTGAATCAACGTTACCATGACCCCCCGCGCGCAGCTCAAGTTGACCTTGGACGTCGCGTCTTCCAAGTCCTTTGCTGTCAGATGCTGGAACGGACCCACGTTGTCGTCGCCACCAAACCAGAGCTCCCACATCGCTCGGGACGACGTCGTGGGCAGCAACCACCCCTGCGGCGCAAACTGCTTGGACCCGTCCGACCACGCGAAGCGGGGCATCCCCGCAGGCACTTCCACCTTCGGGTGTCGCCGCGTGTTGGGGATCGTAATTGGACTCGACACTTGCTGCCGGTTGCCCGCGTTCGACAACAGCAACAACGTCGACGGACTGCTGTCGTGGTGGTCGCCTCGCTTCAGGCGCTCCGCCTTGAGCTTCTTCCCGTTGTTTCGGCCGTCAAATTTGAGATCGTTGGTCGCTCCACGCATACCTGCATTGCCGACTGCGCCTTTGCGGTTTTTCTGGAACCGGTCGGGCGCGGCGGAGATCAAAATCGCATCCGTCAACGCCTTGATGGCCAAGTTGATCACGTTCGTGACGCCGATGCCAGAAGGTGTGACCCCGACGCGACCATCCAGCGCGCTCCAAATGCGCTCCGGGATGCTCTCCACCGTTTCTTCCAATGCGTCCAAGCGACGATGCACACTGTCGAAGGCGTCCTGAAGTTGTTGCGCGTCCATAACGTTCGGTGCCGCGGGACCGTCGGCAGCGCCGGGGGAACCGTTGTCAGGCCCTCCATGCTCATTATGATCCTCAATCTCATGGTCTTCCTCGTCGTGATGGTGTTGCTGGTCCTGCTGGTCCATCGAAGTGTCCATCTTCGTCCTTGTGGTCGTTTTGCCGCTTGGGGGCGTTTAAAAAATTGTCCGGTGCTGGCTAACTCGGTCACACGCCAGCCAGAATTTGAATTCCGGTCACTTAACCCAGATATCCGGATACCAAACCCCACCCGTGAACTCAGCAATACGGAGTGGCCCCGGACATGTTGACGAGAGGGGGCGGGTTCATAGACTTAACCATGCAACGGGCAGGACATTGAAGCATGGTCTTGGCTATCGCAACGCTCGTACTTGCGAAAAAGCGTGCTTCTTCGAACATGGGTCACTTGACTCGGATTTAAATTAGACCCCAATGTCAAACCAAAATTTAAACAACGTATCCGGATAATTTAGTCGAAGGAAACCGACTTCTCATGAACAAGATATTCTGAAAGCTATCCATCGATCGACACCATTTCGTGGTCTCGAGCTCCACGGAGGACACGGGTAGGGACGTGAACTTCATTCACCGATCATGCTGTCCGGATCATATGCATCTAGAGCAGGCTCCGCGGTATCTGGCTCGGCATCGTCGTCGTCTTCGACAACGCCTTCATGGTGGTTGTTGTCGCCTTCGTCGTCGTCATCGAGGTGGTCCACTCGCGGCCGCTTTCGCTGCGACGGTGTCATCATGTGGTATACGGTTGTGTACGTATACTTATGCACCTTGTTCGCGCCGTGGTTGCTTGAGTTCACACCGCTATCGGCCATGAGTCTTGCAAACGCTTCATGGAACACTCCTTCGAGGGAGCCCTCGTCCATGTCGTCCAAGTCTTTAACGGACATGACGAGCTTGGCGTCGAGCGCGACATCCACGAGTTTCTCCATGAGGACGCGGTCACTAGACAGCAGTTTCCTCGGCCGGCGGTCGTTCGCAAACCGGTCGACGTCGCGGCTGCGGAGGTGGCGGAACGGACCGATGTCATGCGCGGGGTCGCCCTTGAACCAGTGCATTCACATGACCAGGCTTGTAGTCGACGGGAACTGCCACGGCACCATCTCACACACGTCCAGCGGACACGCGCGTCGACCCCCACCTTGTGCCTGTCTTTGATCAGCAGCTCGTACACGTGGCGGTAGGGGTAGATGGTCTGGCGCGAGCATGTCGGAGAGGTGCGCGAGGGCGGCGGGGGTGCTCAGGACGGTGTACGCGTGTTCGAACACGGCCATGGACTTGAACTGCGGCATCTCCTCGGCGTGGGCGGCGGACGCGACGAGGTGTTTCTGTTTCTTCATCACACCGCGCGCTTGCGAGATTTGGACGCGGTTGCTGGCGGTGGACAGGTCGCGCTGCTTGAGAAGTCGGAACGGCCCCATCCGGGGCTCCATGCAGCCCTGGAACCAATACTCCCACATCACGCGACTCGTGGTCATGGGCAGCACCCACACTTCCGGCGCTCAACGGAACGACCCATCCTGCCACGCGAAATGCAAGTCAGGGACATCCGACAATATGGTCGGGGCAGCAAGGGCGGACGACGGTGCTTTCCGTCGCGGGGGGTTGGGAGTGGGAGGCTTGGGAGGCGGGGGAGGAGCTTGTGTGCGCTGCTTGGCGAGACTCACCCATGTGTCTGGTACGGCGCGAGGATTCATGCTTCGTGTATCGGAGTGTCGTTTGTCGGATGATCGGGAAGTCGTAGTCGCAGCAGGTTGGGTGGTGGTGGATGATGTCGTGGCAGCAGGACTTGTTTGACTGGTGTTGGATGCAAAGGGGATGAACGACGTGGATGATGGATGCTGGTGTTGGTGCTGCGGTTTGGGTTTGCCAAGGTCGTCCGCATGCCCTGACCAGAGCCGATTGGGCAGGGTGTCGATTTTCCTCTCCTAGGTGTCCATGCGACGCTGCATCTTGTCCAAGGCTTCATCCAGCCGACCGAGCGTTGTATCCACGCGCTCCAAGAACTCGCGCGGCGCCATGAGGTACATCACATCCATTGTGTTGAACATTGTGTTGAACATGCCCAGTGGAATCGTCCGGATAACGTTTCCACGACCCCCAACGGCCACCTTACTTGTTCATAATAGTTAACAAGTACCTGTGTTCAGAATATGTACTCTGGGGCATACCGTATTATAATTAAAGATTTCAAAAATATGCTATGTGAACTTGAAGTTTGTAGTATAAATTCAATTGATTGTATTTTATTTCGACTCAAGTCGAAATATCGCGTTGGCATGGCTAAGTTATTTTGAAATCCACTCATACTTTCGGGTGTGATTTGGTAGGTTTGTCGTCGTCGGCGGCGTCTGCGCGCTTCCGTTTCGACGCGTTCGCCGGCGCCAAGACCCTGGCGACTGTCGTGTAGAGGCACTCTTGGGCGTAATCAGGCTGGATTTGGTTGGAGCCGTAGCCCGCGACGTTGCCGTCGGGGTTGTTGTACATGAGCACGTCGAACGCGCGATCGAACACGACCATCACGTCGTCCTCGGACATCAAGTGCAGGCTCGACACGCCGCTTTCGACAAACATGTACGTATCGGCGATCCCAATCAGCGCGTCCATGACGTGGCGCGCAGACACGAGACGTCGCTCGGACACTGTATCCTCCGGTCCGAAATCGTGGGGCGTCAGGTGGCGAAACGGCCCAATGCCTTCCTCGTGGTCACCTCGGAACCACAGCTTCCACAGCACCTGCGACGACGTTCGAGGAAACTCCCAGCCTTCGGGCACCGCCCGTCGCTTGCCGTTGGCCCACGTGAACCTTCGACAGTGTTTGGCGTCGGCCATGGGGGGGGGCGCGCCCGTTTTCATGTCGGGCGCGGGGTCTATAGGTTGATGCCCTTGGGCCACCACCGTCGCCGGTTGCTGCTGAAGTTGTTTGTGTTTTAAGTTGGCCATTCGAAGCCGCTTGTCCACGGTGCAGCACTTGAGTAGCACCAGATGGGCCATTTGCTTATCCTCAAAGCCCGGTCGCGTGACCGATCCGTCGTCTTGGGCGCCCAGAAACAACGCAAATGATCGGTCAAACAAGGCCAAGCTGTCGGTTTCCGTCAGCGCCGCGACCGCGTCCTCCGACTCGACGAGGCCGTGCGCGACGGCAACGGCGGCCACCTGCTTGACCATCCGCTTGGCCACGGAAAACGTCTTTTGCTGCGTCGAGCCTTTGACGGATGTGACGTGTCGGACGGGGCCCACGAACGGTGGCACGTACGCGCCGTGAAAGTAGCAACTCCACATGTCTCGCACCGTGAGCATGGGCATCTCCCACGCCGACGATGTCGCAGAGGACGAAGGGGATGGGGCGGGGCGTCGCCTCGGGGTTCGCTCGTCATCCACGTCGTCGCTGTCGCCGCCGCCGGCCGTGGTTGTGTCGTACCCCGTCGCATTCGAATCTCCACGACTGAGCCATCCCCGGGGCCCAAACAACCGTTTCGACAATGTCAAGTACGTCAGTGACCCCCATTCCGCCAACGTCGCCGTCTCGCCGTTGGACGATTGGTCCGAGTCCCCCCCCATGACGACCAGTCGCAATGCGCGGGTGAACGCCGCGTCCAGGTCCTCCCGCGGCATCGCATCGAGATGGTCCACGGATGTAAACTCCAATGCCGCCGTCTCGAGGCGGGACATGACTGTCCGGGCGCAGCTGCACCGACGTTTCGATGGTTTGTCCCGGATCGAACTCGTCATGACGTGGCGCAACGCGGGCATGGAAGCTGGCGCCGACGGATCCCCTCGAAACCAAAACTGCCACAGCTCGCGACACGATACCAATGGGTACAACCACGTCGTACTCGTAGTAGTACTAGCCATCGGGGTAATCGCAGTAGGAGTACTAGTTCGAAGGAAACTCGTCGACGCGGACGACGTGGTTGGGGCGGCGGGGGGTGTCGGCGGTTGGATCGACCACCTCGAGGCTTTGGCAGGCATGGTCGACGCCAGCTGAATCAGGAACGAATTCGGCACCGAGTGATTGGGGGTTTCTGCTTGTGGAGTGTTGGCGGAAGGTTTGGCTTCCGAGAAAGTGGATGGGGGAAGGGGGGTGGGGGGGCTTCTCGAGGGGGTGGTCACGGGGCATCGCTGCAAGATTTTGGCAACGGCGAGGTAATTGAGCTGCACCGCAGTGTTGTACGTGAGGACTTCAAACCCAGGTCGAGCTAGCGACCCGTCGTGTGTTTGTTGGAGGAGGTGTCGAAACACTTGGTCGAATATGGTTGGGAGGTCGCGGCGCGGTAGAGAGGCCAACGCGGCCTCGGACACTGCCAGGCCCAGGTCGATGGCCATTTGAATCAGTGTTTGCATGACCAACGTGGCCCTGTCGAATCGATGCTTGGACTGCTGGTCAGACAACGAGTCGCGTAATGTCGAGTACGGCCCCACGTGATTGTCGCCGTGGAACCAACCATTCCAAAGCACGCGACAGGTCGTGGAGGGAAACATCCATTCCGGGTCTTCCTCTTCGGTTGACCATGACGACTGCGCGCGCGGGGGGCTCGTATGCTTCAACGTTGACGAGGATGGGTGTACGGTGGCAGCAGCGACAGTGACGTGCTCCTTGTTGGACGTGGTGGTGATTCCAGCTGACGACGGTGGTGTGGCTGTGGGTGCCGTCGCATGCTTGAAGGATGAGGATGCGTTCACGATGGCAATTGGAGAAGCATCGTGCTGCTGCTCCGTGACCACGGCTGCATTCTTACCCGCCAACGATTCGGTCAACATCTCCATGGCACTGCGGAGACCGGACGTGTCCTCCTGGAAACACCGAATGAACTTTATAGGAAGCGACTGGACCTCCTCTTCCAGTGCATCCAGGCGCCGACACACGCGCCGCAAAGTCGCGTCGATCGTGTGAAGCTTGGCGTCCATCGCAAACGCTGTCTCTCTGCCGCCGCGAGGTCCCGCGTTCGTTGCTGGACGAATTATCGTTTGTTTTGGCCAATCAAACGATGGAGGTCTCCGGTCATCAATTTCCCGCGTCCGTTTGAATGGATCAAGGCCGTTTTTGTGAAATATTGACAAATATTCGCAACAAATGAGGCAATCTGAGCGGCGAAATGCCCAATATTGTCGATTTTCTTCAAATTTCCCGTTTGTCCAAACCGAGCTGAGACATCTGATTGGTTAATATTCACTTCGCAAATGTATTATAGCCAATCCACGACAAGTAATTTCTGATTGACCAATGGGAGAGATTGGTGCCCGATTTTCAGACGGATGTCCAACAACGTTACTCGAGTATTAATATATACTAGTACTATTAATAGTATCTATATTGCCTTGTTTTCACGGAATCATAGCGCCATCATGGGGTAACTAATACTAGTATTCAACAATTAGGCGAGATGATTAGCCGCCTTCGCCGTTGTCGTCGTCGCTGCGCTTTCGCTTTTGATTGACAAGCATCGTATACACCTTGGTAAACATGTTGTTGCACGCGTTGTGTGGCAGCAAAGTGCTCTTGTCCACGCTAGTACTACTAGTACTAGTGTTGCCCATAAGCACACCAAAGGCCTGCTCAAACACAGCGAGACATTCATCCTTGGGCAGCGCGGGGATGCGGTCGGCCGACGCGACGATGCCATGGTCCACAGCCGTGTCAATCACCTTTTGCACCACCGCCGCCGCCTTGCCCCGGGTCTTGAGCACGTAGTGGTGCTTGATGTCGTCCTTGGTGAGCGTCCGGTACGGCCCGATGCCGTGCGCGTGGTCGCCCACGTACCACAGTTCCCACAGCGACCGGCAATTTGTGATGGGGAACACCCAATCTTCCGGTGCGCGGTGGAGGCTGCCGTCGGTCCAGGCAAAGTGGGGCGCCTTGGAGGACAGTCGTTGGGACGACGAGGATGGCGGAGCCGGTTTGGACGTTGCCGAGCGTCGCTTCCTGGGAATAAACCCAGGGGGGGTCGTGGATGGTTTGGACCCTCCTTCTGCTGGCGACGGCGTCGTGGGAGTCGTCGCTGCCGCCGCCTTTCGCATCGGGCGCAGGCGAGGAGTCGTGGTCGTGGTGGTCGCGTCGTTGAGATTGCTACCAGCATTCCGCAACGGCGCAGTGTCTGAGGTCGTTGGAGGCATCACCGACGGAGGCGGCAGCGGCGGTTCGTTGGAAGGATTCGCGGGGGCAGTTGACATGGCGGCGGCGACGGCGGGAGGAGGGGCGTCGTCGTTGTCTCCAAACACGAGGGGTTTGATGTCTGGCACTTGTGCGTCGTCCAACCGTGTCGACGCGAGTGGTTTCTGGGGCCCAACGAGGGGGGGGAGGCTAGGGGAGGGGGGGGACTGATGCTGCTGCTTGTCCGTGGATGGGACACCCAGCGACGTCGTGATGGCACATCGCAACGTTTCGGGCAAACTCTCGAGCATGTCCAGTCGACGGTGCATCACAGCGAGCGCGTCATTCACGACCATGGCTACCACCGACACGTTGTCTTCAAGGGCAATGTGGAGCACATTTGGAAGCCCTTGGAGTGTCGTTTCCAGCGGCTCTAGGCGAGATTGCAGCAGAGCATTCACATCCAACGGCGGGGACTCCTTTAAGCTGACCGTTCGAGCCAGTTCAGTCATGTGACGATTGAGCAACTCCTGCACCAGCGTTTGCAAATTCGTCGACGAGTTGGCCCATTGGTGGGGAAGGTCGTCCATGTGGGTGCGCAGACCTTCCAGCGGTCCCGCGAGGCGGTCGGTCGCGTTTTCGATGGACTTGAGCCGGTCATGCACGGAGACCATGGCCTGGTCCACGACATCGCCCACGTCCGCCGCCGCCACCACGTCCTTGATCGCATGATGCAGTCGCTCTGGAAGGAGCTGGAGCTGAGATTCCAGCGGCATGAATCGCCCGTGGAGCTGGTGCACCAGATCGTCTTCAATCAGGCGCTGCAACCGGTCCGGGAGGCACCCGACTTGCTTTTCTACGTTCTCCAATCGCGCGTGGATGTACCCGAGCGACTCGTCGTTCCCGTACGAACCGCGGCCGCCGTTGTAGTTGCCAAACTTGCCGCCGATGCCGCCCACTGCCAACGCGACGCGGTCGGGAAGGCTGCGGCCTTGCGATTCCAATGTTTCCAACGTCCGGTGCATCACCGACAGCGATTCTTCGGTCCGAGCCAGCATCGACGCATGGTGCCGCTGTGGGTCCAGGGAATGCACGTGCAGCGGAGACGACTTGTGGTCCATCAATCGACTTTGCAACTGACGCAGCAACGAATCCACGCGCTCCGGCAAGATCTTGACCTGCGTCTCGAGGGTGTCCAACCGACGATGTATCGCAGGCGTGATCTTGTCCGGGAGCGCCTGGGTCTGCGTTTCCAGCGACGCCAAACGCTCGTGGATATACCGGAGGGTGTCCTGCATGTTGTGCATATTGCCCATGGACGAGTCGTCTGACGCAGGGGACGTGTTCGGACGTCGCAACGTCGACGACGTCTCCATGGAGCCAAGGCGCCTGCGCATCTCGGTCGGTGTCTCGTACGACGAGCGTGAGATCTCGTCCTCCACAACAGGAGCAGGGCCACGGGGGCTGCTGTCGGCGGAATGTCTCTCGAGCGCGTCCATCCGGCGGTTGAACCGGTCAAACTTGTCGTCCAGCATGCGGAAGCGAGCGTCCTGTGCGTCGAGGATCAGCTCGAGCTTCTCGTCGATGGTGCGGAACATGGATTCCACAGATCTAGGGTGGTTCTCCGAAGGGAGGAGGGACGGTTGCTGCTTCATGGCGGCGATTTCGATCGCGCGGCGAAGGTCCTCCTTCCGCGCTTCCATAAAAATCCTCGTACCGAAATTCGATCGTTGAACTGGCACCCAAATAGGACTCAGATTCCGCGCTACTTTATTCAAGTGACGTATGTATCCGGATTCAAATCCGGATAATATGTCCATTGTCTGGCTTTTCGCGCCAAACAAGTCAATGCGTGAGGGATATGCCATGATCCAGGAACAGGCGGCTACCGGCGGCGTGGGTACAGTAGTGTAAGATGTATGCAACTCAAGATGACATCGAGCACAGCAATCTCCGTCACAACGGAAGTGATGGTGAGGAAGCGTTGAAAGCGATCTGCTTTACGTCAGGGATGTGGAGAACAGTCTACAGTCTGCTATGGAGGATCATTAGCACGAGTAAACTTCAAAGCTGGTCATGGCGTGCCATCACGTACTAGAACATGGAATGCGAACGAGCTAGCGGTACTAGTAATAGGAGGTCTTACGCAATGGCAAAGGCCCAATTGGAAAACCTCTTGACCAAAGCCCCTGCTATCCCTACTAGCAGTATCGACACAAATTCTTCCTACTTCAATCCATTCTACAGTTCTGCCAGCCAAACACAAGCTTGACACGTCTGGCATGACAGTAGTAGCGCTGCGATTTCTGAACGCATAAGTCGGTGAAACCCCCGTCTATAATTAGCTCATCCGTGGATACAGCATACCCCGACAAACGCAATACCTTTGCCTCGTTGTCATGTTGGTGCCGTGGCAACACCCCGACTCGACGCCGTACTCGTCCATCGACCAGCTCGTGTACTTCATCGACAAATATGCCCACACAGATCATCCGTCGTCCTTCCCAGCCCTCCATGCCTCGGCATCCACCAACGTGACCTTTCCCTCAAACGCTCCATTGGGACTCCGGTTCATTCAAGTTCACCGTCCATCGTCCGCCCAAATCGTTCTCGTCGACGACATCATCATCCCCAATGCGTTCAACCACACCGTTCCTCGCCATGCCCAACTCATGCGCATAAACGGCGTCGACGTCGGCCATCTTTCCGCGGCAGGCCTTGACCTTGTCCTCCGTGAAATCCAGCACCTGAAGCGGCACTGTGTGTTCTCCCCTCCGCCTTGTCCCATCAGTAGCTCACCACTTCATCATGGCTCTTCCACCGCCATCCCATTGCTGGATGTATCACCATCGCCCCATGATGATCATACAACTCCTTCGTGTTGGCTGCACTTCCTTGGCCACGCTGGTGAATCCTCGTTTCCTCATCGCACCCTTGCCATGCCTTGCCACGTCATGGACGTTGCGTGCGGTCCTCGTCATATTCTACTGCGCTCGTCCTCCGGCCGCGTGTTCTCGTTCGGCAGTGGCGACTCGGGTCGGCTCGGTCATGGCGACGTCCTCTCCCGACTGGACCCCACCCTCATCCAGGCCCTTCGGTCGCAAGTCGTGGTCGGCGTGGCTTGCGGCCGCGACCACTCGGCCGTCGTGTGTGCGTCCGGACTCGCGTACACATTCGGGTGGGGCGAAGGCGGTCGGCTGGGGGTCGGCCACGACGCCGGGGACGTCCTGTGGCCGACTCAAGTGGTGCTGCCCAACGCCGTGCGCGGCTTCCACCTCGTGGCGGCCGGTCGGGAGGCCACCGTGCTCGTGTCGCGGTGCGGCCGCGTATTTGTGTGCGGGTTGGCCCATGTCGGCCCGACCGCCCACGCGCTCCACTTGGCCCCGCACCACCTCGACGGATGCGACGACGAGAATGCTGGAGCAGGCGGGATTGTTAGCGTCAAGGCCGGCGACGCACACTGCGTGGTGCGCATGTCGGACGGCTCGTTGTACTCGTGGGGAGATGGCGCATCGGGGGCGCTGGGCCACGGCGACTTGCTGACCAAGGTACTACGGTCGTTCGTTATTTTAAGGCTTCCTTTATGAACAAACTGTGTCGAACTTGCAGTTTTAGGATGAATAGTTGGTGGCAGCGTCTCTCGACATAGTATCGTGAAGGACATGCGAGACGTATGTGGCGATAACGTCATGTACATGTAGGTCCACCCGACCAAAGTGCCAGGGCTGCCGTCCGTGCAAAAGGTGGTGTGTGGTGCGTGGCACACTGCGTGCCTCACAACGCAAGGACATGTGTGGGTATGGGGAGACACGATGGGATCGTCGACGTCGTCCCCGACGCGCATCGGGAACAAGAGCACTTCCATTGATGAAGACAACCCAGTGTGCTATCGTGATGTGGCGTGCGGAGGTGACGGCGCCATGTTCGTGCAGCCGCATGATCACACCGTAAGACATGTCTCGCCATGTTTGCGTGCAACTAGTCACTCAAAATGCTTGATGCATGTGCAGGTGTGGTCGTGGCAAGGCGACAACTCGGGCGAGCAGCGCACTGCCACACGCGTATGGCCGCCCGCGGTCACCAACGACAACGAACATGCCGCCACAACATACCAGGCCGCCGCCGCCACTCTGAAATGTACGTGTCGTATATGTTTGAACAAATCGTTTCGAACGCTGTTATGAAACGTTTCGAACGACCGTAGTGGACGCAGGCGGAGCTTACGCCGTCGTGCGGCAGCCCTGTCCCCTCAAACGCGGCAAACTTGGCCACGAATAGGGTCAATCACAACTAATCCATCATTCCATCATTCAACATGCATGAATATCTGCCGACTTATGACGAGTTCGACGGCGGTGTCGAGGGACGACCAGTGGTGGTGGAGGCAGCAGCAGCTTCTTCTCCGGCAGGCGCAAAGTCCAGGTCGTCGTCGTCATCGTCGGACGAGTCCGCGTCGGACGTCGCGTCGTCAGGGGACTTCCCGAGGTGGTACGCTTGTCGGTAGGCTTCCTGTTGACGTCGACGCGTTTCTTCCATTTTGAGCGCATTGTGCTCGTCGGACCACCGGCGAAAGAACTTGACCGACACGAACAGCCCTACGATCGCCACGAGCACGACCACGAGCATAAACTCGGTCGGTTCCTCCGACTGCTCGGCGAACATGCGGAATAGCGCGTCCGCCATGTGCTCCTCGGGTTCTGCGACTCCCAATTCATCAGGGACGGATCCGTCGAAGCATGTGACGCCTTCTGTGTCTGTCGATTTGCCTGGAGTGTACCCCATGGCCTTGCAAAACTCGCGGCCTCTAATGAGCAAGTTGGACAACGAAATGATGTTTCATGGAGGGTTCGTACGACGGAACGATGGAGTGCAGGGGGGAACAGATGAGGGCGTTCCCGTAGCATGGACTCAGCGCTTGGCTTCCATCGGGGGTGTAGTACTCGTCCTTGCACGCGTCGAACCAATCGTCGCACAGGTCGGGGCATATTCGTTCCAAGCGCCCTGTTCCCACAAACGGATGGCATGCAGAGCACGTCATTTCATCATGTAACGCTTGGCATTTTGAGTTGAACAACGCGACGATGGGCTCCATCACGCGTCGCTTCAATGGGATCGTGTGGGTCGCATTGCAGCAGCTGTTCTGCCAATACTTGGTGCAGTGGTCCAAGGACCGCTGCTTCTGCTGTCGGGAAGGTTCCGTGGGGTCGAACTTGATCCCTCCCGTGGATCGACACAGCGGTTGCGACGGCGTTGATGACGCTTGCTCTCGGCGGCTCCGACTCATTCGCACGAAATCAAATGGCCCTCTTGGTTCTGAGAACTAAAACTTGCCTGGCAATGGAAAAACCACCATCGCGTTTGATTAGATGGAGTTTAGCGTCCCGAATTTGAGATGGGGATTGGAGATGGGGATTGGAGATTTCTATATAGGTATTTTTCAATTCGATTTAACCCAAGAAACACGCTATACTCTTTGAAATTCCGGATGCTGATATCCGGACGAGATCTTCAACCGGCGCATTCACGGAGGAAGTTCGCATGAGTCAACCGCCGCGGCCGTCGGGGTCTCCACCTCCACGTCCTGCTGGAGCTCCCCCACCACCAAGACCAGCAGGACAGCCACCACCTCGTCCAACTGGCGCCCCACCACCGCGGCCGGCTGGCAGTCCACCTCCACGACCAGCAGGTTCACCACCACTGCGACCAGCGGGTGCACCACCGCCACGACCCGGTGGTCCGCCTCCACCTAGACCTGATGGACAGGTTGCTCCGCCGAAACCGACAAATTCCCCACCCAAACCTTCCCAAGCCCCGCCGCGACCTTCAGAGTCACCGCCAACGCTTTCTGGATCCCCGCCTAAACCAACTCAAGCCCCCTCACGGCCATCTGACTCCCCTCCGAAAATATCACAAGCTCCTCCTCGTCCATCGAACTCTCCTCCCAAACCAGTGGAATCACCGCCAAAGCCAGTAGAAGTGCCGTCAAAACCTCTCGACGCACCACTTCATGCGGCCCCACAGTCGCCCCCAAAGCCTGACAAACCACCCCCAGTGATTCGACCACCACCTGGCGCCCCTCCACCTGCCAATGTCATTTCAGCGTCGTCGCCCATTGCCCCACCGCCAGGCATGCCCCCAACTGCCATCGCCCCACCTGCAGGTACGTTTATTGCAATATCGCTTCATAACACAAGAATCACTGGCGCAGGTCCCCCGCCACCGAAAGGCGGCAGCCCCATCAAGCCGCCATCCGGGGCACCTCCTCTAAAACCCCCTTCAGGCGCACCCCCCATCAAGCCCCCACCGGGCTCCCCACCTCTCAAATCTGCTGCAGCTCCAGGGGGAAATCTGCCAGGTCCCCCAAGCGGGCCACCTCCAGGCCCCCCTGGTCCCCCGAAGGGCCCCCCGCCCGGTCCGCCTCCGGGGCCACCGCCTGTCGATCCCAACGACACCCCCTCCAAAACTGCGTTAACATCACCGGATGCTACGTCATTACCCGCCCGAACGTTGGTGAAAAAGGGCCGCTTGCACTTCAAACTGCTCGAAGCGAGGGGGTTAACTCGTCCTGGATCGAAGAAAGACGACGGCAAAAAAACATTCAAGGCTGACGTGTACTGCAAACTCAAGGTGGGCGCGACCACCAAGCACATCAAGGAGCTTAAAAGTCGCACGTGGAAGAAGAGCGGGCGGGACATTGGGTTTCAGGAAGAAGCGTTGTCCGTGAATTTGGACCACCCGGAGAACATGCTCACATCATCGCACGACTTGCTCGTGACGGTACGATCATACATGTGATCACGTCATGTTGTGGATCTCACATCATTTTTGACCTAGGTGGACTTGTGGGACGAGAATATGATTGCCGACGAGTTGCTGGGGACGTGCGACGTGTCAGTTCTTCGGTTTCTGGACGGCCACACGCACATGCAGACCGTGCCCCTTGTGCACATCAAGACGAGGCTTCCAGCGGGGGAAGTGGACATGGAGTTCCGCCTAGACATTGCCACGCCCGGCATGCTCAGCATCATTGTCATGGAGGGGCGAAATCTGAAGAACATGGAGCTCGTGGGCAAGCAGGATCCGTACTGCAAGTTTGAGCACGGCGCGGCGCTGTCCAAGCGGACGAAGACCATCGACAAGGGCGGCACGCACCCATACTTTGGCGAAGAGGAGCTTTGTTTCTGGATCACGAGCGAGTCGTGGGTCACCGATATGGTTGTGCGTGTCTTTGACGAAGACGTTGGTAGCGACGACTTTATAGGCGAAGGTCGGTCGAGTACATATCATATTGTGTACACGAGAGTCAAAGTCATGGGGGGGTCGATCTATGTGTATTTCATTAGGGTCGTTTTCCGTGCTCACGTCGATGCAAGTGTGTGGCCAAGGGGCGGCGGACGTGGTGCTACCCCTCACAAACGGGGGTAAATCGGCCGGCGAGTTGTTTTGCAAAGTCCAGTTCTTTCCCGCGGGGCATTTAACATTGCATTGCATCGCCGGGCGTAAACTACGGTGCGTGCGTACATGCGTGCATGTAGGCATTCCAACAAGGACAATACAATACTCATGTGTATAGTTTCCGTGACCCCTCATTGGTATATATATATATATATTGAAATATGGGCTAGTGATGTGGACACGGTGGGGCGGCAAGATCCGTACTTGAAGCTGACACTGGAAGGCTCGTGCATCAAGTCTGTGATGCGGACGCAGATCGACACGGACGGAGGCAAGGAGCCCGAGTGGAACCAAATGTTCGAGTTCGACGTGGTGGATCAGTTTACGATGGTCGTCGAGTGCTGGGACCACGACGGGATGGGGGACGATGACTTGATCGGTGAGGCCTCGGTGTCCTTGTTGCCCGTGTTCCGCTACGGGTACATCGACGAGTGGGTACCCCTGACGTTCAGAGGCAAGTTCGGGTCGTCTCAAAAGGCCGGCGAAGTGCATTTTGAGCTGTCGTTTGTGGCAGTTCACGGGATTGGGTACCCCCAGCACCAGGTACGTAAAGAAGTACTAGTAGAAGGTACATATGTGAGGTTTTGACGTGGGTTGTAGGTGGGAATGGACACGTTTGACGAGAAGGAGCGCTTGACAAAGGACACGGCGCACTTGCGTGTGAAAGACGACGCGCCCAAACCCATCGAAGTGGTGCCGTCGCATGTGCTTGTCCAGCAGGCCAAGACGGCAGCGGCCCCTGACAAGTTCGTATCATATGACGTGATCGCGACCACGCGAGATCTCATCGTGACATGTCACACAATCTGAGTAGCAAGAGCGAGTTTTCCGAAGACGACGTCCTTGGCGCGTTCAAGTTCATCGACTTGGACAAAAACACGTTCATCGGGGCCGCGGAGATTCGGCATATTTTGATCTGCATGGGCGAGCTCATCACGGACGCCGAAGTGGACGAAATGGTGCGCATGGTGGATCGGGACGGCGACGGACAAGTGTCGTTCGAGGAGTTCCGGAAGCTCGTGGTGCACCCGGACCCTGGGAGCATGGACTTTGGCAAGGATACTGATGACGTGGCAGTCACAGAGGTACGTTGAAGTTGAATGCTACTACTATGGATACCGTCCTCGGACGTTGAAGTCCAATCCTACTCTTGATAACGTCATCCGACGTTGAAGTTGAATGCTACTACTATGGATACCGACCGTCCTCGGACGTTGAAGTTCAATGCTACGATTGATAACGTCATCCGACGTTGAAGTTGAAGTCGCATCCTACGATTGATAGCGTCATCCTACGTTGAAGTTGAAGTCGCATCCCCTACGATTGATCACGTCATGCTCAACAACGTACAATATGGTATGCGTTAGGTGTACCGCCGCGAAGACATTGTCACGGACGACGACCGCAAGCGCGAGATGGAGGTCAAGATGCAGAAAAAGGTGATTGATACTCTTCATATATATATATATAAATTGTTTGAATTGTATATGTACACAATCAGGCACTCGTGGACCGGTTCATTGGCGACAACAACATCACGCTGGACATGCTGCGGCGGGTATTTGGCCGGTTCAAAAAGTCCGACAAGGCCGGCTTGAGCTTTGAAGACTTTTACACGCTATTTGAGGTGGAGCCCGTGGGCGAGTACAGAAAGCTCCATGCGTTGTACGCTGGCGACAAGCTCGCAGATATTCGAGAGATTCTCCTGGGTATGGCTTGTTATCATGATTTTTGCATGCTGTTCAATATAGAAGAGAAATGTATGAAGAGTTGAATTGTTGTGGATTCGGTACAAATTTCCAGACCCGTCGAATCGAATCGACGCTATTGGCTAATCCAACTTTGATTGGCTCTTCCAAAAAGGACAAGTATAGTCAGCCAATCAGAACATTCCAGCGTGTTTTTCAATATTGATTCGACAAACCGCGCTAATGTTGAAAGTTTATAGCAAATATTCACAATATTGTCAATTGGATAGTACAAATTTGGGGAGGGGGTGCAATCGATCTGATTGGTTGAATTTCATTGAGAAAGTTTGATTGGTTGATAATTTTGAGCTCATCTGAAGTAGCCAATCAAATCGATTTAAATTCCAACGAGAAACCACGCCACAACACGAAATTTCACTCGAAAGCACAATATTGCTTTGTGTTAAATATAGTTTTAGTTCGTTGCTCGGGAATATTCTGACACGTGTGTGTGTGGGTCATTAGGCATGAGCAACTTGCTCGAGATTGACAAAACTATGAAAGCCCAGTTTTGTTTTGAAATATACGACGACGACCACAACGGGTTCATCACCGAGGACGAACTTGTGAATATCCTCAAGGCTACCCACATGGTACAGCTTATATAATTCTGTCGTAGCCATCCATTGGATTTATGCACATATATTCGTTGTGTGGAGACTAATTACTATAAGAGATTGAAGCAGTGAAATGACTTTACTGTTCCTTAGACCACGGAGGCGAATGTGCTAAAAAAAGCCAAGACGATCTTGAAGCAAGCCGATTCCGACGGCGATCACAAGATCAACCTCGACGAATTCCACGTGATTTCGAAAAAGTTTCCCAACATTATTTTCCCGCACGTTTAAAAATCAAAATTATTTTTCCTCGTCCTTGTACGTCGTCGTGTCAGTATATATATATATAGTGTATTTCCTTCAAATTTCCCATTTTTGCCGCCCCGTTTACTGAACCTCACTGCAACCTGACCGCAACATTTGATTGGCTACCAATTAATCGGTAGAATGGGCATGGAAAGTAGAAAGACTATTCTAGCCAATCAGTGAAAAGAAATTATTTCAGATCGACCAATCAAATGCCGTGGTGAGGTTCAGTAAGATTCGATTGCGCGGGTCCGGAAATAAATTCGTCCCGAATCTACAATAATTAATAGGCAAAATAATCTAAATATGTTGTTCTTCTCTATCTATTTCTCGGTCAGGTATGCTACTGCCGGCCAAAGAACCGCGACAGGAACCGCGTCCGCAGGCGCTGGAACCCCCCCGGCTGCTTGCGGCTGCCTGCCGTGGCGCTGGATTGTAGTGCTGCCACGTCATTCGGATCGTACACGTGCGCCCGTTCGTCCAGGAACGAGCTGTAGTCCACGATGGGCGTCACGGCGTACGTTATCCGCTGACTCAAGTGCAACATGGCGACCTTGGCGAGTCGCTGGAGGGAGCGCAGGTCAACGTGTCCGGCTTGGCGCACCACCGTGTCCATCACAAACACAGTACCAATGACATGTCCGTCCGCGGTGACGACGGGCACCGCCGCCACGAACCGGACGGGGTTGGTCCGCCGTTTCACGAGCGGGTGCTTGCGGAAGCGGGCGTCGTCTGCCGCGTTGAGCACAACCAGCGGCCGCGTGGACGCCACGACATGCACGCAGAACTCGGCGACGTCGGCCAAGTCGACGGTGTCGTCGTCGCCCAGATGCGAAGCCTTGAACCACTGCTTGTCCTCGTCCAGAAGTGACACGCCGGCGATGGGGCACTGCATCAACGTGGACGCGAGCCCGCTGATCCGATCGAACACGAGCTCGGACGGCATGTCGAGAATGTCCAGGGTGCGCAGGGCTTCTTGGCGGGGGTTCAAGGGGAGGGCGTGGGGCGGCGGGGGGACGCCCGACTCGTGGTGGACCGTGTGGTGGTTGAACGGTTGGTACTGGTGGATGGAGGATGGCTGGCGGAGGTGCCGATGGGGGGGCGGGGCCCCCCGCACTTCGCTCACGGCTGCCCGTCGGCGGTCTTCGAGGTGGTTCATGGCCATTTTGGCAATCTTGACGAGAATCGCCACGTCCACAGCCTCTTCCGCATTGTGGCCATACACAAACACGGTGCCCAGGACGAACCCAGCGGGGTTTACGAGCGGGGCGCCGGCGTAAAACTGCAAGTTGGCCGGACCCGTCACGAGCGGATTCATGTAAAACCTCTTGTCAAGGGATGCGTCCAGCACGACCAGCGGCGACGGCGACGCGATCGTGTGCGCGCAGAACGCCACGTTGCGTGGGATGACGGTCTGCTTGAGTCCGATGCTGCTCTTGCACCACTGGCGCGACTTGTCGAGGAAGGAAATGCCGCCGATGGGAACTTTGAGAGCTTTCACCACCATGGCGCAGAGCATGTCGAACACGTGCTCAGGTGTCGTGTCCAGCACTTCGTAGCTGTCGAGGACGTTCAGTCGCTCTGCTTCGTGAGGCAGCACCGGCGGAGCCTCCCACGGGTACGGCCAGCTGTTGGTTGACGAGTGCGTGAGCCGTGGACCACGTGGCGGCGGTGGGTCGTCATGGTTGGGCGGTGCGAGTTGCGGGTCAGGGGACGGATAATCGTCTGCGGAGAACTCTTGCGATGCAAAGAAGGCTTTGAACGGCGACCCAGGACTCGACGACAGGTTGTCGTTGTGGTGGTGGTCTCTCAGGCTTCGTCTGGTGTAGCTGATGCTGCGGCGCTGCTGGGCCATGTTGTGGCTAACGCTGCGTTGGTTGCCGTGAAGAATCGTAGACATAGTATCTACGGTGTCGTCTGCCAACCAAGCAGTCGACGACGAATGGCCACAACGATGTCCTCTCAGCACGTGAATGTCTATTGAAACACTTGCCCTCCCATTACATCTGGCGCATGTGTTATTGGTGGAAAGGTGACATTACCCTGAATTGGCTTGTTTAAGGTATTTCAGATTTTAGTACACGCTCAACAAGGAGCCACGTCATGACTATTTCAAGCGAAATTCCGTTTCGGGAGCCAAGTGCGCAGGATTCGTAGGGTATTTCAGTGAGCAAGTCGCCAGTTCGTGGCCTTTACCGCAGAGCACACACCAAGATGCGCCATAGACAACCAACCCAGCTGGTGGGAGACGTCACCATTAGCTCATTGCCGCCATTCCAATTACGCACATCGAAGCGTCTCTTGCTGCGGACTTGACCTCACCGTGCAAATGTACTCTTAAGTGCAAAGTCTCGTCTTTAGACGTACTGTAACAAGACTTCAGGCGTACACAGTCCAAGTGCGCTGTGGTGTACATACATCCAGCAGATTTCGTACCTGATTCGTACACTGTTGGATGCTTGTCAATCCATACTACTAGTATTCGTAGGACTGCTTATTAGGACATACTACTAGTATTCGTAGGACTGATTAATTGAGTTTGGATTATCATTTTTAAGACAATCCTCGCGAGGGCCGACACTAGTTACCGTAGAGTTAGCAAACAGCGTGGAGCACATGAACTCACTTGGTTGACCTAACAAACAGAGGTCCGCTTCGAGAATGTCCATGCATGCGCTATATATACCCCAATCGTCTTGTGTGCCTGTAACCTGCCAGACTCCTTCGAAAATTTAGAGGCATCGCTATAACAATACCGTTCTCCCTGTACCTGTCACCTCATTGCTGGCTGTTATTCAGTGCGAGGTTCGGGTAACGGCCAGTTACACTTCCAGTTGAAACGTGCGAATGCTGTGGACTTGTTCATGGACATTGGGGCGACGCAAGAGTTGACGCGCCTGCTATTGCTTGAGGGCGACCCACCAAGTAAATCCGATGAGCGAGTAGTCTGCCCGACCCCCTCGACCCCACCAACCAACAATGTCGTGTCGGTGGAGGTGCGTACATCTTCCTCTAAAGGGGACGGAACTCATACCAGTAGTATTGGTCATCGTTGTCATGGAGTGCATCAGTTTGTGACGAGGTTGGCCCAGCGATTGTCTGCGTCGCAAGACCGCATTGCCAAATTGGGGCGCATCGAAAAAGCCATCGCCGACTTCCACGGCGAGGTGGTCGCCCTCGTCGGGCACTTGGACTCGTCATCCGCTGACGACAAGGCGACGGCAGTGGCCCCCCCGTCCATCACCACAGACGGAGACACGTTAGCGTTGGTCCATTCGTTGCGAATGTACATGCGTATGCAGCTGGCTTTTCGCGATGTAAGATTGAATGGGTGCATGGTGGGTACCTAGACATCCGTATCTTGGGCCTTAGGACTACGAAGCCACGCTCAAGGCGTCCCTGAAAACTGTATCCTCCGCCAAGCACAAGTACAGTACCCAAGATAGATTGACGACTTGTTGTGAGAACGGTGGATATAGGGACGAGTTGAGTGCCAAGGCTCACGTGGCGCAGCTAACACTCGAGCGCGATGCACTACTTGTGCACAATCAGGTGTGCCCATCGAATAAACCAATCCGATTCCATGGCGTGTATATGGATGACCATGGGGCTGACATTGCTGGACGACGTAGACGTTATCGAAGCAAATGGACGAAACGGAAGCTATGAAAGCGCTTGTGACCGTTCAATCGATGCAGGCGCTAGAGCAGTCGCGCGCGGCCACAGAACATGTGCTGCACCAACTGGCCGATGTGCGCGTGGAACTCAAAACTGCCCTCGACACGGTTGGTCCCGTTGAACCCCATCACCGAACATATATCACCACGTTCTTGGCGTGTAGGGTCGTTGGCAAGCGGCCCAGCTGGACGACAAAGAACAAGCGAATGGGTTGCTAACGCAGAAGATCGAATCGCTGATGCGAAACACACATGGGGGTGGGGGGGACCAACAGTCGAAAGGTCGCGTGGAGGGAGGGGGGGCTGCTGTAGGGGGCAACATGAAGGGGGTTAGCTCGCTGGACGCCGACATGCGACAAGCGAACCTCAAGATTTCGCACTTGGAGGCCGAGAACCACGCAAATCGCGACCAGATCAAGGACCTCAAGGCCAAGCTGCAAGGATACCTCGGCAGCGCCCATGCTGTGGCATTTACGCAGGCCCAAAAGGACGCCACGAGGTAGTAGAATTTCAATGGTAAGTGTGTGGCACCACAACTCCATATCGTTGTTGGGCAGGTTCAAGGAGCGCGTAAAAGATGTCGAGGGGAAATTAGCGGCGGCGGAGGCAGTCGTGATGAAAACAAGGGGCCAATTGGCGGAAAAAGGCACACGCCTCCAAGCGCTGCAGGTACATAATCAAACGTAGTAGGATGGGGCGCGCTCGTATTTCTATATGTATACATGGGAAGGCGGAATACGACAAGATATTCACGGCGCTGCAACGGGAGAGTGACAAGAAGCAAGCCGCCACGTCCACCCCCGAATCTGTATCAGCCGACGAGGCCAGCCGCTTGGCCAACGACAACCAGTACGAATGCGACGACGACATTGCTTTTCCCCCCGCCCCGCTAGAAATCACTCCCCTCATGTGTAGATATGTGACGGGGTTTTACCGAACCAAGCTGGAACATCAAGCCGCGGAAATCCTCGGCCTTCGCAAACAAATCAAAAAGATGCTGACGCTGCAGCACCAAACGTACTTTGATCATTCGTTGCACAAGAAGGAGCATCTCCGCCTGCTCACGCGGTACGCCGAGCTCAAACGATTGGACGACAAAAACAGCACGAGTCCCATCATCGCATCCCCGACCAACAACCAGAGCATGCGACATCGTCACGCAGTGTCTACTCCATCATTGCACTCTGGAGATGGTGAGGCCCGCAAAGTTGACAGGAAGCAACTGGTGCGACGAAATCAGTTCCTCGAACGGTTTTTCAGGGAGCATTGCGGGGATGGCGACGCCCTCGACAACCATCCCATGGCTCGGTCGCCACCCCAATCAAAGTTAAAGCATAGAGCGACTACTACTAGTACTACTAGTACTCCCATCATCCCTACCCCCCCATCGACCGCACTGCAGTCCGTGGTCACGACCACGACTATCCCAGTGCCCATGACTGGGACCCCACCGTTTACACCTCCCCCCCGGCTAAATACCCCCACGACGAAGCCAAAACCATCCAAACGGCCAGCGTCGGCGGCGGTGGCAAAACCCAAACAAGTGGGGGACCCAAGACAGTCGTTTGTCGTTGGCGCGTTGGTAGCCAAAGACATTTAAAACGGAGTACATATTCCCCACTCAGACCAAAGAGCACAATGGATTTGACTCTGTATTTTCACGGATTCTTCCTGCAAAACACGACAGCAACACGGATTTGTCAGTAGGCAACGACCCTAATAGGGACAACCGGCACGCAGCAGCTACATGTGACAATCCCAACGTGTCGGCCACTGACAGCAGCCCCACGTCACATCCACTTTGCATCACTCGATGAACCAACGTCCGCTCACACAGCGCCACGCAGCCAGCGAGGTCTAGCGCAACGCTGGCTTGAGCAATGTCAACTAGCATGTCGACTGGAAGGTCCTACAATACGTTTTGCTTAGATATAGTTACAACATAATAAGTCGTAAACACATCGTACCACCAGCTCCGCCAGTGTCTCAGTGTACATGAATTCAAGCACAAAGTCGACCACTTTGGTTGTAAAAGGCAGCGAGTACTCGGTATGATTCAAGTTGAAGTGGGCTCGGAGAACGGGGGAGGCGGCGGACACGACTGCGCGATGGCATGTATGGACATTCGATGGCTGGGAGCCGCCGCCGCCTTCGGCGATTAAAGCGACGTTGGCCAGCCATTGGTTGGCCAGGAGCTGTCTTCTGTCATGTCGCCACGTGTCGATCACACGTGCTGCCACGTCATCGCAATCGCTGTCACGACAAGCCAGCGTTCCGAGATGGGTCTCCAGCTCTCGAAAGTCGCGAGGAGTCAGCGCTTGCTGCAGCGTGGCCAGACATAGGCGTTGCAGGTCAAACAGCAGCAACGAATTGGCCAACACGAGTAACTCGACCAGTTCCTCCCCATTCTCTTCGACGTTGCTAAGCAAGTTGCTGCACCCCCCGTGGTACAAGTACGCCTTGACCAGCGTCCACGTCGACCTCGTCGCGTCGATGGCCAGTGACGACGTCGACGTGGCCGCCGCCCACGGACCACACAATCGAGCGCGAAGGGACGGGCAGTGACCGACTAAAAGTGCAATGTGCACTGCGTCCACCTGTCCGTCCACCGTACACACCACCGTCTGCATGTCGGACGTTGTTGTTGCTGGCAACCACGTACTAGGCGCAGCAACCAGCGGCGGCAACGCCATCGGCGTGTGCGCTTTGACGAATGCGATACAGTCTGCGTCCAATGAGCAGCCCGCCGCAATGAGCTCCCGAACGCACGGGATCTGGTGCGTTCGCACGGCCACGTACAGCGCCGAGTGGAGTCGGCGGTTGCGTTCGTTGGGGACCCCTCCGTGCGCCAAGAGTCGGGCGACGGCGTCCGCGTTTCCCAAATGGATGGCCAGGAACAGCGGCGTTTGGAGCGCCTTGTTTTCGGCTGCGTGGAGGGCTTTTCCGTGTTGGGACGACTGGATCAACGCCCGCAGCAGCGCGTTCGTGACGCGGACGTGGCGGACGGCCGCATGTAGAAGCGAATCGCCGAAGACTTTGTCCACAACCAGCCACTCGGAAGGTGGCAAGTATGGCACGAGTAACTCGACGGCATCGACGTGCCCTGTACACACGGCCTGGTACAAGACGGACAGCAGCGCAGTCGTGGGCGATGCTGATTGGCTGGTGTTGGCAGCGGTGGGGTACCCATACACGAGCAACTTCTGCGCCAAAGCCAAGCCCGGCGACAGCAACGACTCGTACAACGGAGTGTGGCCGTCGTGGTTGGCCACCAAAGGCGACGCCCCGGCCACGAGCAGCAAACGCACCACGTCCATCCATTCCACATACGCTTTTGATTGGCTGCACGGAGGCGGCTTGGAAGCCGCGCTTCGAACGGCCAAGAGCAACGGCGTGTCGCGGCGGCGGTTGCGCCCGTCGACTTTGCTCTTGGGCAACAACACTTTCACCACGGCGACGTGGCCTTCCCTATACCGCGAACGATCACGTAAGCACGTGGAATGTGATACATATATCAGATGATGACGTTATCATCGTGACGCTATAAACGTACCGACAGGCCACGTGAAACGGGGTATTCCCGTGTTTGTCGACGGCGGCGGGACTGGCCCCCAACGAAAGCAACAGCCGGACAGTCGACGGGTGTCCTACACCATATAGTACAGATTAGACGACGTGACGATGACGTTATCACAGCTCAAATGACGTTATCATAGTGAAGATGACGTTATCACAATGTAGGTACGGTTTCGCACCGTTCGCGGCAGCGGCGTGCAAAGGCGTGAGTTTTTTGCGGTCGCGTGCGTCGAGGCCGTCGCCGAGGCCATGCAGCAGCGTGAGGACCTACGTCGTACACGAAATGACGTGGCAGCTTGTGGTGACAGTGCAAAGTACCGAATCGTGTCCGTGGGCGGCGGCAACATGCCATGCATTCCGGCGGTCGTCGTCGCGCTCGTCCCACAAGAGGAGTGCGCGGTGGGTCGTCAAGTGCGTGGACAGCGCGGTAAAGTCCTCGAGCGTCAGGTGCGCCGAGGTTAGAATGCGTGCCGCCATGGTTCGCCAAGCCTCGCGCAACTGGGAATGGGCACTTGGTACTTCAAGTGCCACTGCCGTCGACGCTTGGGGTCGAGGTGCTGTGATTCGATGACATCGATTCGCTGCATTGTCACCGATTTCGTCATCGTAGTTACTTTGGCGACCATGCACTTTGGATTGTGCAGCAACGTGAAAGAAATACCCCGGCGATCGACCCTGCGCATCTTTCCTCGTCAATGCTGGTTGTGACAATGGCGTTAGGTCGGCGAAGTCGTCCTGTGTCGTCGATGGCGAGCTAGGAAGAGGAGGCTGTGACGGCGGCGCGCGCCACTCGGACACGCGCGTCTTGGTATGCCTTCGCCTCGTGGTCGACTGGACTGGTACAAGTTGATCTGGGGCAGTGGTTAAGGTTTGTTGGGGTGGCTCCACTTCGACGACTGTGTTAGCATGGACGAGCGAAGGCTTGGAGACCTTGGACAGAAGGACAAAGCCTGCAGGAACGGAAGGTGGCGGCGATGGCGGCAACAACGGAGCACGAGTGGGCGTGGCGACGACAGTATGAAAGGTCAATGGGGTGGTAGTCGTCGTTGTTGGCTTCTTCGGCCGTCGGAGCTTGGAGGTTGTCAAGGATGGGTACTCATGGCGGAAGACCGCTTCATGCTTGGGAACAAACTCGGTCGCGTGGATGTTCAATGACACGGTTGACGCAGGAAGAATGGACAAAGGTCGGTCGGATGCTCGACGAAGGTTGGCGTCGTTCCCGCGGTTCATGCGATTTAGTGTCCTTCATTAAAGTACGCTTTTCAATGATTAAATTACGAAGGCTATTCGTCGAGGTCCTGAATCATCGAATGATTTGTATTTGTATACCACTGAAGCTTGCCGCTAAAGTTATCGTTTTAAATCATTTTCCTCTTCGATGAAGTTGCGTACTTTCGAAAATGTTGGCCAATCACAAGCTGGCGACGGTTTCGCGAGAGCAGTTGCAACATGGCGGCCGCGGAACTGGACCGCCACGTCCGTGTGCAGCGAGCGCTGGACCAAGTAAATGGCATCTCCATATGTACGTCCTTTTTTCCTTTGCGGCAAATGATCACCCAACCCAGCGCGGATCTACAACGACGCGTTGGCCCAGAACAAGGCCAAAAAGTCTGCCAGCGAGCCGTCTTTTGAGGAGCGCATTGAAGCCATCATGATGAAGACGCAAGAGATCGCGCAACGTCTGCAGCTGTCCCAGCGACAATGCCTCGATAGCTTTGACTCGTTGGGGGTGGAGGACGACTGCATTGACGACGACGACGACGAGTCCGTCGATGGGTTCACGATCATGGACGACAATGCCCATGCGTCCCATTCATTCAAGCGGCAACTGAGTCGCTTCCTCCTCTTACCGCGGTCGCTCAGCCAGCGCGAGATGGAAGAGGTTCCGTTGAAATGACTGTATTGATCCCTGTGACATGCTCACGACGATGTGTCCAGATCACAGACATGGTGCTCCTCGAAGTGAACAACACTCCCGACCACAGCATCCTCATGCATGAAATCGGGTCACTCATCGACGAACACGTGCTCACTCCCCGAGATGACGTGTCCTCCCCTTCCTGCGACGACGACGGCCAACGTCACCACCGCGACTCGCTGTCAAAGCGCCGTCAGGTGAGCATCACCACCACCAAATGTCCATCACCACCATCAACTGTCCATTCCATGTGCATTAGAAAGACCTGCCCAAGCTCGACATTCAGCCGCTGTGTGCCGTCGATATGGTTTGGCCTCAGTCTTCCCCCTTGCTTAGTAGCTCAACTGTATTGGGTTAGGCGCAACGGCATATGTTCAAATCCGCCAACAAGCTCCACTCCTTGTCGTTTCGCGTACAATATATATCTATATGTCTCGTCTTTATGACGTTATCGTATGACGATATCGTATATGCGACACAGGGCGGGTTTGACGAATCCCATGCCAAAGGCCTGACGTCGTCCCTCACGTCGAAACCAACGATGCGGTCGCTCTTTGGACGCAGTGACAGCGTGGCGAGTAGTCTCCAGCGCAGTCCAACCTACCGCGGCGGCAGTCCCAGTGCCCGCGGCGGGGTTTCCAAGGCTGAGCTCGACGCTGCCGACGTCGCGGCCAAGGAGGCGGCGTGGAAGATGCAAGTAAGTATGCATGTGTGTGTACACACACATTCCTTGCTAACGTGTTATGGAATGATGGTAATGGACGTGGTTAGGTCAAGGAAGACTACATCATGTGGCTGCGCGCCAAGGCGGAAGCGGCGGCGGCTAAAGCCAAGTCCCGCAAGGACGAGCGAGTAACCCGCAAGAAGAAGAAGCCGCGGTGGCTTCTACTGTACGAGCAAGGGCGGCTGCAGCAGCAGCACTAGGACGACCACCACCAGGTCGAGTAGACGATCAAAAATGATGAAAAATTAGCCAATTTACTGAAAAATTAACCAAAAAGCTGCCTGGAATACTATAAAAAAACACTACGCCATGACAATAACAATTCGATAAAATGTCGGGACCCCGAATACTAGTAAATATATCATTCGTAGTAGTACTACTAGTATTCCTAAATGTATCATTAGTAGTTAGTAGTGGCCGCCACAATGGCGAGATCTATTACAGAGTTAATTTGCCTCCAACAGAACTCCTCCATATATGCTTAAACGATGCGGTCGAGTTCCGTAGCATACGACAGAGTCTCCCGCACCAAGCGAAGCGATGGAATGTCCGCCGCGCTACGCAGTCATGACGAGAAGGTTAGCGGGAGTGACTAGACGATGGAGATGGATGGTACATACCCCAAGTGCTTGGTGGGAGCTTGAAACCACACGACGTCGCCCGTGACAGTCCACTCGGGCTTGTTGGCCACGACGTACGCTTGGAACTCGGGCAACGACGCGAAGATGAGCATCTTGGCGGCGTCGGCCACCGCCAACGACGGGTACGCGACTTCGGCGCAGTCGGCAATCGCTTCGCGGACCGTTTGCAGCAATTGGGACATAAACCACTTGAAGTACGGGTTGGGTTCGTTTGTGCGGGCTTCCAAGACCTAACATATACGCGAGTCGTCATGCAGGGGATGGGGGGTAGGTTGGAGGAGGCGCGTGTACCTTATTGTAGCTGCCTTCCATGAGGTACTGCTCCAACTTCATGGAGAACGCAATGTTCGGGTCGGCGCGGCCTTCGCTCGGAAGGATTTCCAGCTACATGGCATGGATCGAGATGTGAAGTAAGATGCGCTCGAACGGACAGGTATGTACCTCGCCGTGGAACTCGGCCATGCGGTTCTCCACGAGCAAATGGAGCAATCGCGTGCCAAGCAGAGGGTAATGCAGGGGTGACTTTGGTAGTTGGTCGCTAGTGATGGGTAACATCAACATGGAGAGAGCGAGCGCATGGAGATATGAGTACCCGAACGAGTTGTAGTACACCTTAAGTTGCGTGATGTTGCGTTCGAAGGCAGGGATGTCTTCTTCCTTCACGCTCATGATCGTCGCACTTTCCAAGACATCACCTGGACATACACCGTCAGACTTCCGTTGTATATCCCATCGCAAAGTAATATAGTACGTACGTGCAAGCTTGCGTTCTTGCACTGCCGTCGGCGATTCTGTGGTGGTGGGGGGCAAGCTGGGCAGTTGGATCAGCGCGATCTACATGGAGTACCCCTCAGAATATGGAGCTGACACATGTGATGCAGCGGTCTACCTTGAGGTTGCGCAGAATATCCTTGGCTTCCTTCAACGAGGCCGGTCCAGCAGGATTCTCAACGAGTGCCCGCAGCTTACTCGCCTCACGTTCCAAGTGATCCATGATATTTGAGTGTATTCTCGTTTGAAAGCAGAAGATCGGGTTGGCCGAAGGCCATCCATAGATTATATATTATACACGACATAATAAACAAAAGCTTGGTTTTGATGCATGCAAACGACAATTACGGATATAAACTATACCAGTTCATACCAAACACCTTGAATATTGTATATCGCTTAGAAGAAGTAGTATATGTCATCGATTTGGGGTGTGCATTTGAGACCAGAGGACTTATCGGCGGCAATTATGAGCGCATTGATGGAAGGCGGGCCGATGCTGTCGGATGACAGTTCCGAAGAAGACGAGCCCATCTCCGTACCGACACAGCATGCAGTGACCCATGGAGATGTCGACATGGGTGGTGGTGGTGGGCTGGATGACGATAACGAAGACGACGCGTCAGCTGCAGACGACCCGACAGTGGGCAAACATCCCAAGCTGCGGCGACTGTATGCCGCGGCGCGCAAAGAGCCATGGAACATTGACGCGTGGTTAAACTTCATTTACGAAGTGCAGCAGAGCTTCCAGCACGTGGAGGAAGCCCGACCGTTCTACGTCATATTCCTGGAGCAATTCCCCACTTCGGTACGCGCGCATGTCGATGTAGAGGTCTATACGACCCCAATGCTGACGCCACTGCGTGCTGCTTATGTAGGCGTATTGGTGGAAGCAATACGCAGACCACGAATGGCGCGCGAACCAGCTGGAGAACGTCCGGGAGATCTTCAACAAGGCATTGCACGAACTCAAGCTGCCGCATGTCGACCTCTGGTCGTTCTACCTCCAGTTCACCAAGAGCACAGTCATGGACGTGTTAACCGACGCCAGTTCCCCCGAGGACAAGAAGCGCGCGCGTCAGACGATGGCGGAAGCGTTCGAGACGGCGCTGGACCGCGTCGGCATGTCGATCCATTCCAATGGGATTTGGACACAATACCTCCATTTTCTCAAAGACGACAAGGTACGTCCCGTGTTGCGTATATCGTACCCGATATATGTATATATAGGAACCGACGGCGATCTTCTCAATCCGCAAAGTGTTTCAGCGCGCACTGTCCATCCCCATTTTCCATCTGGACACGCTCTGGAAAGAGTACGAGCAGTTCGAAAAGGCCATCCCGAACAACGAAGTGTTGGCTCAAAACGTATTCAAGGTCCTCCGACCCAAAGTCGACGCCGCCAAAGCCATCTTCAAGGACCGGAAGGCGCTCGTGGACCCGCTAGACCTGGACGCACTCCCGTCGCACACCAACACCAACCCCCAGGTAAAGTACTAGTACTAGTAATAGTAGTACTACTACTAGTAGTTCTCGCCTTGATCCGCCTTTTCCTTCTCGATCTTCCCATTGTCCCTATCTATCTCTCCATGGCACTCGCATGAACCACATTCTACTATCTATATACATGGCCATGATATATGCGATGGATTGATGACCTTCATGTTGGCCCCATAACAACATACAAGTGGATGTCATCCCCATATAGTTTGTATGCATATTCGTCCTATATTGGAGAGGCTAAGGATGCTAAAATGGTATCGTAATAGATTGATGCTTGGAACAAATGGATCGAGTTTGAACTGGCCAACCCTGAGCGCGTGGAGCGACCCAAATGGAAGGCCAAGGTCCGGTACGCCCTGGAATCGTGCCTCGCATGCCGCCGGTTCTCGGCCGAAGTCTGGTTCCAGTACGCCATGCTCGAGCTGCCGGACGTGGCCGCCGCGTCCGCCGTCTTCCGCCTCGCGGTGGCCGCGATGCCCCAGTCTTGTCTTGTACGCTTTGCCTTCGCCGATCACTTGGAAACCCACGCGCTCGTGGATGACGCTCGCGCCGTCTACGAAGCCGCCCTCGAAGCGCATCCTTCCGCCATCACGTACATCACGTACATGCGGTTTGCACGACGGGCATTTGGCAACAAGGTACGTACGTACGTACCACCAAGTGTCTATACCTTGATGACATGGATGCATTTGACTGCCGAATGTCCAGCATTACGAGGAGTCTATACCTATTTTTTTCTTTTTTTATAATTTATATTAGAAAAAATTAAATTTTATTAAATAAATATATAAATTCTATCTTTTTAATTTTTTGAATAATTAAATTAATATTTAAAGGTTTATTTCCCTATACCTTCATGACATGCACTTTGAGCCTCAAGTTGGGTACTTGCGCTGATTATTGTGCCCAAATCCATCGGTCGACATTTTGTACTGAGCTTCATTGGATGTAAATTTCTAGAGCCATTCCCAGCATTTGAATTCGATGGGGAATGGTTGAAGCGCGAGAATTTGATTGGCCACTTGATTTGTGTTGTGGGTTTTGATTGGTCGATCATTGATGGTCTGCCGCCGCTTGGGCGGTGCAGCTCATTCGATTGTCAGCACCCCAAACTCAAATCGACTTACAAGATATGATGCATGCGATATATATATATGTTTGAGTTTGAACGGAGTGCCAAATATATATTCTTAATCTATTATATGATTGATTTCGCGTACGAATTTCCGGACCCCGTAAAGCTCCGATTGGTCAAAATCTGAAAATTACGCTTGGCTGATTGGCTACATTATTTGTTCTTTTGACTATGTGCATTCTGCGGAATGGATAAACCCAATCAAATATCACGGCGAATATTGTCGTATATTCGGTACAGATTTCCAGACACCGTCGAATCGAATGATCTCACCGCCTAATCACGATTCGACGCGATTGGCTAATCCATTTTTGTGTGGATTTGATTGGCTCTTGCAGAAAGAAGTACAAGTATATTCAACCAATCAGAATTCCCGCGTGATTCAAAATATTGATTCGACAAACCAGGCGAATTTTGGAAGTTTATAGCGAATTCACAATATTGATTTGTGATTGGTTTTACGAGTCGCGCAGAATGGGGAAATATGTAGAAAACTCAATATATATATTGTATCAAGAATAATGATATTGTGGTTTTGTTCTAGTATTACTAGTGTGTGTAAAGATGTCGTCCTTCATCTGAACCGACTACTTGGTAGGGGTTGGATGCATCGCGACTGATTTTCAAGCGCGCGCGGCGGGATGCCCGGGAAGGCGCATGCACATTCCACGTGTACACTGCCGCCGGTACATACGACTTCGACCAGGGAAAGATGGGGATTTCTAACATGACACGATTGTATAGCGCTGCTGGAGTTCCACGGCGGCATCGGCGACGACGGCAAGCAGATTGCGCTCAATATCTTCGAATTGGGACTCAAGAAATTCATCCACGAGCCCGAGTTTGTGCTGTCGTACGTCGACTTTCTTGGCCACACCAACGACGACAACAGTACGCCCCTCCTTCATCTATATCCATCCTCTTCATTTATATCCATCCTCTTCATCTATATCATCCTCTTCATCTATATCCTCTTCATCTCCTTCATCTATATCCATCCACTGCACATATATCCATGCTCTTCATTTATATCCATCCTCTTCATCTATATCATCCTCTTCATCTATATCCTCTTCATCTCCTTCATCTATATCCATCCACTGCACATATATCCATGCTCTTCATCTATATCTATCGTCTTCATCTATATCGATCCTCTTCATCTATATCGATCCTCTTCATCTATACTCATATTTGGCATTGTAGACATGCGGTCGTTGTTTGAAAAAGTGTTGAGCGTGATGCCGCCGGCCGTGTCCAAGCCTGTTTGGGACCGGTTCATCCGGTTCGAACAGACCATGGCGACTAACGGCGGCGACCTCACGAGTGTGATCCGGCTGGAGCAGCGGCGCGCCGCGGCCCTGCCCGACGACTCGACGACCAAGGGGTTGCTCGGCCTCGTGGATCGTTATGTGTGGATGCACCTGCTCCAAGACTCCAAGTCGGACGCCCTCTTCTTCGCCACGTATGGCACGTTGGCCGCGTCCCCCGCTGGTGCGTCCGACACGTCGGCCCCCCAACCCCCCCCCGCACCCCAAGCTTCGTCCGGCTCCATCAAGTCGTCGCTTCTCAAGTCGTCTGACATGTACATGCAACTACCGCGGTGCTCACTTCTAACGAGGCAGTAGGGTCTACCACGGCCCTCCCCTTCCCGAGTTTCTCAAGGCATTTGCAGCGCAACTCCCACTTGGTGTCACGTGGAACGGTGCGTGTGGCCATTTGGCATATATTCGTGGCCATTTGGCATGTATTCGTGACCATTCGGCATGTATTCGTGGCCATGTGGCATGTATTCGTGGCCATTCGATTGACTGGATGATGGGGGGGATGTAGGCCCGGTGGCAGACCCAGACATGGTGTTCCAAGCGCTATGTCGGGCGGACTTTCCATTGCGAGAAGACGTCGAGCGGCTGGATGCGATGGATGGGGGCGAAGCCAACGGTAAGTTGGACTGACCTATTTTGAAATATATTTATATATATATATATTTCTAATATCGCTCGACAACAGCACCGGTCGTGACCAAGCGACCGACCCACGACGTGTTTCGAGACCGACAAAAGCAACGCCTGGCCAAGTTAAGTTAAAGCGACTGGGCCAATTTCGCACGGAGAGTCGGTGGCGGCGTCTGCACAAACAAAACGACCCTTAACGCCCAATATAGCAGCCACATTCAAAACAAAACGACCCTTAACGCCCAATATAACAGCCACATTCAAAACAAAGTGCAAACAGCCCCAAGACTTGATGTACAAAGTAAGGTACCGATGATGGGGGCGCCGATGGTGCCGTGACGTTATCCTGCTCCATCAACGCATCAAAGCGTGACTTGGGTCGCTTCATCGCATGTTCCACCTACATGCCAACTTATATCATTCTATCATTTAAGAATATCATTCCATCAAAGCCATCCAATAAATATCATAATCTGTCGTTTCAAAATATCATTAAATATACTAGTAAAAAATAGTATTCATTTAAATATCCTTCAGTCAGTCAACTGTAAATATCTTTGCATGATTTAAATATTATAATGTCATTGAAATATTATTCTGGCATTGAAATATCATTCTGTCATTGAAATATCATTCTACACGTCTGTACCACATGGATGGTGTCCGTAGCTTGTTGCATCGTCATGGGTAACTTGGTATTCAGTTGGTCGATTTTGGCTGAAATCTATCATCGTCATACAGTGAGAGATGGGCAAGTCATAGGGGTGAGCGATGGACAGCCGACGAACCCGCGCAAACGTCGCTTTGACAGCGGCAATGTCTTCTTCCGAGTACTTGATGGAGGTACCATCGCTGTCCGCCACTGGCACTTTGGACGGGCTGGAGAGCGCCACCTCGAGGGCTTTGGCCTGGGCAGCAAAGTTGGCGTGCAGGATGTCCCGGATGGTGGTCGGAAGGCGCGACTGATGCGCATGGATGCGTTGTTCCGTGGCATGGATCTGCGCTTCCAGGTCCTTTATCCGAGCTAACGCGGCGGGATCGACGGGACTCTCTGTCTTTTTCGTCGACTCTATGCAGATGATCAAGTTGGATGTGTGTGAAGGGCGACAGGGGGGTGTACGGAGTTCGGTGGGAAAGTACACGCGCGCGAGGTGCGTGAACGTAGACGAACTCATCTCGTTCACATGGGCCTGCAAGACGGCGGCGATTTCGCGGCGACTTGCCTCGGGCATCTGAGGCTCCAGCGAGTTGATTTCCGTCAGCGCAATCTCACGAAGAGCTTTCATGCTTCGCCGTTGCGCGGCCTTCAGATCTGCAAACGTCACCGAGTTGGCGGAACGTGGGGATGATGGAGAAGGATGATCTTTCCGCTTCAACGCACTGGCTGCAGGAGTGGCACTTGGTGGCGTGACAGAGCCAGCTGCAGTGACGATACCAGCAGCGGCAATCTGTTGCTCAGAGGTAGTATTAGGTACTTCCTGTCGCGCTGCCACCGCCGCCACGTCCTTGTTCTGCGTCGTTTGGCCCTGCATATCCGGCGTGCTGGGTTCGTTCACAATGCTGGAAGTGTCTGTGGTATCTATTAACAAGGTTGACGCCGTCGCTTCCGAGCTCATGACGGTGACTTGAAAATTCAAATTCGTACGGATAATTGGGGAGGCATTATACGGATGCAAAGAACGCTGTAACCAGAGGTCGGTCACGTCAAGCTGCTGTAGCGCGTATGTACTCTAGGCCATCAAGGTCAAGCCAAATGCATTCCTCTTCAACACGGCTAGGTGAGTGTTTGCCAATGACTGGCGTTGGGCCACTTCTCACATGTCTTGCATACGCCTACCACTAACACCCTAAAGCTAACTGCACCATGCTTTTAAGTTGTGGACGCTGCAAGTCATCATACTGAGTAGGAGCGCCATACAATAACACAACTGTACAGTTGACCCTGTTGTGATCCTCGTAGACATGTACGTATGAGTGTAGTCCACGAGCGCTCAAAGGTCACCAGCCCCATCACTCGTCACGCACGCATCGCTTACAAAACACCCATCTCGAGCTAACAACTTGGACTACATGATTAATCCTTCTTTTGCTGTTCCTGCTTCTTCAGTGCACGCTTTCGGATGCCCAAGTGGGTACTCAACGCCACCTTGCTCATGATAAAGTGGGGCACGGCTTCGTACAACCAGATCTGCAGTGCATGGGGCCAGTACGGCGACACGACTGTTTCGTACCCAATGTTGGCCACCGCCGCCTACCAAAGTACATACTCATGGATCAGGGGTGCGATTTCTTCCTAAAGAAGTACCACCTCGGTACCTAGTAGGTACCTACACGGCATCGAGTAGGTACTACCTAAAGTAGGTACGTACCTTGGCATAAGTAGTGGGGCTGGGCACGGCGAAGCTGGCGTGGCGGATCTTGGACAGCTTGGACGTGACGAACATGGGGGTGTGGCATTGCACGGAGATGTTCTTGGCAGCGTATTCTCCCGCCAAGCCCAACGTGTATTGTTCAATGCATCTACACATCGCAGTCAAGTATGACGTTATCCAAAGTGATATGTCATCATGGCATACTTCTTGACGGCGCTGTATTCACTCAACAGTGGGCACGCAATGCGCGCGGACCCAGAGCTGCAGTTGACGATCGCCCCACGCTTGCGTTCGACCATGCCTGGCAAGACCAACTTGGACATGACAAACGTCGACTTGATGTTCATGTTGACAAGGCTGGCCACGCTCTCGTCCGAGAGTTCGTGGAAGTACTAGGGGTGACATGTCAGCATGACATATCAGTGTGATGGATCCTACCTGGGGGAAGTCGTAGGATTGGCCAACGTTGTTCACGAGCACACCTACGTCACCGACGTCGGCGATCACCTTGCGGATGGCTGCCACGGACGCGTCGGTCAAGTTGGAGTAGTCCACGGAGAGCGTCTTCACCGACACCGTGTTATACTTGGTTGTGATTTCCTTGGCGACTTCGTCGAGCTTGGACTGCGTGCGACTGATCAACACAATATTGAGCCCCTTGCGGGCCAGTTCGAGCGCCGTGGCCTTGCCGATGCCGTCGGTGGCGCCCGTGACAATCGCCCACTTGCCGTACTTGGTGAGCTTCTTGCCGCCGCGAAGGAAGAAGGCGTAGATTCCGGAGAGGAGCGTGAGTCCAAGCTTGGTCAGCACAAGCAGACCAATCACTTGTGCGGCTTGCTTGGCGAAATGCGCATGTTGGTGCGAAGCAATGTGAGAAAGGATCGACATGGCGCGGGGGGTTGTCAAATTGCACTCTGTCGAGTTTGAAAACTTGGGGACGTCGAGGGATTCGGCATTTCGGCCAATCAAAAACATCCTTGTGAAGTCGGAAAATAAAGTTCCCATGGAACTAGATTGTTGTATGCGATAAAATAATTGGATTTATTTGTCAATCGATTTTTGATATGACGTCATGACATGCCAGGTGAAGTGGCAACGAACGACCTTCTGGGTCCAACTACTGTACTACGTAGTACTACTAGTAGTAGTTTAGTAGAAGCACATACTAGTAGCTGACGATCGTGGTGGTATGTTAACGTTACCGTTATTAATAACGTTAGCTCAATGGACAAAGTTGTCTACACCTGTACGGGTAAGGTTTATAGACTAGTATATTATATTGACTGCATTGAAACGGAATTGTTGTTGCCCTGAACAATTTTCATTGCTTTTTGCATATAAAGTTTCTACTATTAATATCTAGAACAGTTACGTACTAGATATATTAATAGTACTAAGTTACCTACCGGTAGTATTTATTAAGAATAGCCCCCCAGGAATACATACATTTGCCTTTTGCATCGTCGTTGCAATCCTCAAACAAGTGGGGGGGACTGTAGAAGAGGGCTAATGACTATATTTGGAATACGCATGTAACGTTATTATATAATGTCCACGGAGCACAGGGAGATGGACACGTGGCAGATTTGATACCCAGAATCATATGTGCAATCGTAGCGCTCATGCCATCCCAAGATTTTGTGCAGGGGGAGCTGATGATCACCTTGGAGGCATCCAGGTCGAACTAGCGTGGCCAGAACACCATCTTGATCACGCAGAAGCACACGCGAGGTCACAGTGTACGAGATCTATTCGTGATTCATGAATGATCCTTGCATTGCAAGTGGAAACTTCACGGACGACGTTATTGTCGACGACGTTCACGCTGCTGATGACGTGATCAAAAATGGACATGGCGTTGGCCTTTGCACTCCTGGAATGACGAGCCGTTAGGACAAAGTCACAGTGGGGACCACCATAAATCCTGGAACGTCTTGAGATGGGGCAGATACGCCGACTGAGATACGAAGTGGGATGGAGCAAACACCCCCAGCGAACCAAAGTCGTCGCCAGGACGGACATGATGCAGCAGATACGCCAACGATGCCACTCTGGCCTCCATGCGAAGGATCCATTGTTGCGCTCGACGAGGGGTGGGCATGCCAGCCAGCAGTGTGGTTATCGCGTACATATGTCGACTTAGGCAGGTCAAAAACTGGTATCTTTGTCTCTCGCGATGGAGGCGTAGGGCCAAGGCGGACATTTCAACGGCATGTTGGTGAACGGTCCTTGAGTATGATGTTGGCAACGCTGTTCTACGTGCCTACATGTGATCGTTGATTATACGATGAAAGTTCGCATACTGGAAAGCCATGTCACATTAAGCAGATCGGGCCGAACAGACATGTCTCGAACGAGTCCACCCAAGCCATAAGTACTGGTAAGGTGTCTTCACCAAGGTCCACAAGGGGAAAGGCATCCGCTTGGGATGGGGGCGGCATCGATGCAAGCTGCTCCATTTCATGCTCGGAGATCGTATAGTCCACCTCTTCCGCCATCGATCTCGTTTGAAAATGCGCCTTTCGCGCGCAAATGCATTCGGTCGACGGTTTCACTTTGCAGCAAACTGAAACTCAAATCAATGGTTTTGGATTGAAAATGGAGGGATGTGATTGGCTTAACGTTTTGGGTAAAAGTGCAATATCGTGGCTTTTGATTGGCTTCGATATTCCAGATGTAAAGGCGATTCGTGAAAATAGATTCATGCGGCAGCCAAATTTCAAGATTCGAAATGCTGTCGGCGACCCACGGATGGCTTCACTTGTCGGCGCGGACGGCACCACGGGCTACAGCCTGTTACCGTCGCATGCATGTGAATCAGAGCAGGATATTCCCTTCGAACATGACCAAGACAAAACTGCCATGCATAGCTCCGTGGTCTCAACTTCGCCACGCCATGCAGTATTCGAGCTCATCGGTAGGGATGGTGGAGGTGAAGCTGCTTCCTTCAATGTCGTCGACACTCACGGATGTGTCGTTCAATTGTGCTGACAGTGTACGCTGTGCTACCACGTGAAGACATTTAATTCACATGTCAGTTGTTAGACTTGGTTCCGCACCTCCACCCCGCGAGGCTGGAAGATATCCTCTCAGCCCATCATCTGCAGCAGTTCCTTCTTGTCGATCAAAACATTCCTTCGTGCCCTCGCGACTTCATTCCCGCCGTTCATTCCACGTCCGCCTGACATGGACCTGCTGGCGCGTATCAAAGTGGCTATGGCTGACGCCAAGACCCCCATCCACCACCTGCCGACTCTGGACGACGTGCCTTCAAACCCGCTTCTTCCAACCGCGACGGGCGACGGGCCCCTTCCTTACCCCCCTCCTCGAAAACCAGTGGCTCGCAAGGACAAACTCGAGCACGGAACCCCCATGCTCGGTGGCCAGCCGCTGGTACGATCTGCATTCTCATTCCGATCTTGAAGTGGAGTGGTATATAGACATTGCGGTTTGACATCACTGGCACGGCCACAAATCAAGCCATGACCCGCCACGAAGCGCTCAAAATGGTGCAAGACGCCGCCGCCACGACCATGGTATATGTAGTACTATTGTCCTTTTACTCAAAATTTGGCCTACTTTTGTGCTGATTTACCAATTCTATCGATCGATTATTACTTTGTATGTAAAACTCGTAACTCCAGTGTCACACAAATTGAAGTCACACACTAATTCGATGTTGCTTTGGTCGAATGTGAGTGGATTTGATTGATTGGCTACTTGGTTCGTGATCTGGGTTTTGATTGGTCGTATATCGATTGGTAGTTCTGCTCATTGAGCACCCAAACTCTCCAATTTCGAATAATCGACTTGACAATGATATCTAAGCTCCAACAAGTCGAAAACACTTGATTTATGTATGTACGTACATACACGGTAGCCAACCGCAGTGGGTCCCCCGACATCTCCGCAGCCGTCGCGCGCAGACAAAGGCATCGTAACGATCCCCGTAGGTGTCCTGGACTGTTTGGAAGACGATATCTAAGGGAACGGATACTGTAGAATGTCCATATGCGGGACATTCGCAAGCTCGACAACGCGTTCGCCATTGGCAACAAGCCCAGTATCACTGTGCGTCGTCAAGGCATCCTCGTCAACGCAGGTATGTAAGTACTAGTAGTACTAGTAGTAATTTGAAGTACGAGTAGTATATTTAGTGTGCTGTGGACGTTTGAGCAGATTCATTTACCTATCCATTAATGTTTTTATATTATTTGTACTGACTTTTGTATGTAAACAACGTCCAGTTAATTTCACACGGATAAAAATCACACATGCATTCGATGTTGAATGGCCAAAGTGAGAATTGGATTGGCTACTTGATTCGTGATCTGAGTGTCGATTGGTTGACCAATTGTCCTCGAATTTCGAATCGAGTAACAATATATAGATTTATATATAATGGTTACTGTATATACATTCTCTGGTAAGCACAACGATCGTATGCCATTGTCAAAAACACCATTCGTAATTACTAGCGTACCATTCCACAAGGATATGACATCTATATATATATATATATATACCATTCCACAAGGATATGACATCTATATATCTACCTCGCTCAGGTTTCTGGGATCTTTGCAAACTCTCTTGTTTTCGATATTGCCTTTCTTTTACCTAAAATTTGGCGGTTGTGCTGATTTGCCAAATCTATTATCGATCGTTTCTTTGTCCTAAAATTTGTAGGTAAACAGTTGTCCTGTGGTGATTGCAATCACACTAATTTCAGTCACTCACACACTAATTCGATGTTGACGATCAACCTGTTTATTGGCTCAATCCTTCTGTTGAACCTTCTGTACATTGATTTATTTATTTGGATGTCATACTCTTTTTTAAATATATTTCCTTCGAAGTATATATATTATATGAAATAATATGTGATGGTGGATTCACAATATTATGTGAAATAATTTGGGAGGATGGTGTAGACCCCGTGCGAGCCGTAATCACCCGCGACGCGTGCGTCGTGTTCTTACAAGATGGCGCACATGACCTCATTCCCGAGCTCGAAGTGAACTTTAAAGACCATCTGGACGAGTGCTCGGTGCACGGATTTGAGTTTACGTACGAATATTTGTGTCAAACCACATGAACGCAATCATAATAATATTGTATTATATATTACATATTACATATTACATATTATTATTACATATAATTATTATATATTACATATTTTTATTATATATTACATATTTTTATTATAATATATATTCATATATTATATATTATTATTATATATTACTTATTATTATAATATATATTCATATATTACATATTATTATTATATATTACATATTATTATTATATATATTCATATATTACATATTATTATTATATATTACATATTATTATTATATATATTCATATATTATATATTATTATATATTCATATATGTAGTTTCTTTAGTGAGAGTATTGTTGACTGGTGTGTAGGGCGTTGGAAGCGATCCTGGCGACGCTGTGCACGTAAGTCGTACAAAACAGTTGGAGATGGCTATTTTATGTATTTGATGTGGTTTGATATTTATGCTAAATAATAAATAAATAATTGATCATATAGGGCCCTAGCCAAGGATGCGGCGCGGGTGCTGCCGCTGGCTAAGGCGGCGGTGGACAAGATCTCACAGGACGCGACTCTGGCGGGAGAGCTTGAGCGGCTGCGATCCACCAAGAACACCATGGATGAGCTCAACACCCGTGTACGTGAGTATATATATATAAAAAACGAAACATGAGATATTCTATTTATTAACGTATGGAATGCCAATGTGCAGGTCACGGGGATGCGCAAAGCATTTGTAGATATTTTGGAAAACGAAGAAGACCTGCGCATGATGCACTTGACCAAGGTACACAACCATCCCACATAAAACCATAACATTAGTTACATCCTTCTGATATATATATATATATATATATATATATATATATATATATGATATTATGTAGCTGCACCGAGACCCGTTGTTGGCACACGACTTGTTTAGCTTTGATTCGGAAGACCTCGAGTCGCTGATCGAAGTGTACCTAGAGGTAATTTTCTCCTCCATTCCCATACTCCCTTATAAACCCCATAATGATATATATATGATTTGCCACCACTTCGTATATATATATATATTAAAACACAACCTGGAAGGACATCTACGACACGCAAACCCACATCGCACTCATGCTCGAGAACGTCCAAAACACGAGGACAATTGCCATGTTAAAGCTCGACGCCAAGCGCAACTACCTGCTCATGGTGAACCTGACGCTGACGCTGTGGACGACCCTGATCACAGTACCCACTTTTGTTGTGGGGACGTTTGGCATGAACTTGAATTCGTACGTGCAGGACGTGGATTATCTCTTTTACGTGGTCGTGTCGGGCTGCGTGCTGTTCCCCGTGGGGGTGTACCGCCTCGTGCTCAAGTACTTCCGCGAACGTGGTATTAACCTCAGCTGGAAGTACAAGTAGAAGGATATGTCTATGGATATATAATATATATATAGTACTTAAGTAAATTATACACATCCCATACAGTCAGTAGTATGAACTACTAGTACTACTAGTAGTAGTACTGAACGAACTCTATCAAGTGATTATTCTCGTGATACGACAGCGAACCAAGATATGTCTTGAGCAAAAAACGTGTGCTATTTATTATTCCCTATATCGAGGTACAGTATTGTGCGGTTGGTTGAATGAACCGCCCAACAATTTCGCCGGACCTGCGAAATATGATATAAAATTAAGTGTACCGAGTATTTGGGGGCGGGTCTAGAAAATATGACCATTTTTCCAAGAAACGTTGCTAACATCGAAATGTTCCAATTTTCTTGACATTTTGTGCGTCTGGAGGATGCCACCAAACTTCAAACTTTTATGCCACAATTTCCATGAGAAACGGGGGGGGGTTTTACTTTGTCTAGCACTTCAATCGAAAGCGAATAATTTTTCCAAAATTCGGCTGGCATCCAGGCAACTTCGTAGATATTTCGTTTCTCATTTTTTTGGATGGGATACAAGAATTAAGGAAATTCGTGCAGACTTACCCAAACGGTTAAAGGCATACAGCAATTTCATGACGTGGCGTCCAGAACGTTCGTGTCCATGCATCTTGGCAAATTAGTACTTTTGATTGGCTAAAACTCATCATTTCCGGAAAACATTTCCGTTCACGCTTTCCACCGAATTCACGCCTAAGCTTGAATGCCTGGGGCACGCATTATCACAAAAAACGACAAAGGGTTGTTTGATAAGTTATGTTTGAAATTCAGAGCATAATATGTCCGAATACTGTTTACCAAAGCACACCTCGTCTGGCTGGCCTCACTGCACTGCAACATTCAATTCTCATTAGCCAATCATAATGCAACCTACATTAATTTTAGCCAATCAAACTGCTTTACTCGATTTGTTGGCGATTTCAACAATCCCCCACAATTGGCACATATGAGTAAGGAATATATAGTGTTCATGATAACTAGGTAGTGTCCGAACTGGATTGTATTGGTTTCTGACCGCCAAATTTCCATAGTCCAGCCAAACCTACATCATATTCAGGATCGCGCCGCCATGCTGATCATCTATCGACTTTTGAATATCTCGTAGAATACGCATTTCCAATTGGCTGCCGACTAACAGTAATGAGGGCCAGTTCGAAGTAGATTGACCAAAAATGTCAAAAGGCGTGCAAAGTACTGATTGTCTCCGGACATTTAATTTTTACTCAACGCTTTTTGGTCGAATTATTTATTTATACGGTGTGTACGGCCCCAGGAGTGTTGTGGCCTAAAGCAAAAATATTCCGGCGACTCGGAGTGATTTGATTGGTCAAGTCTCCAGAAATTCGGTACTTCAACTGGGCCTGACACTTCGACACAGCTGCAGGCGCAAAAGCCTCTCAAAAATGCTAACATTGTAAAGTACTGTACAGCAATTATGATCGGTGAAAAGTTCGTTGAAATTCGATACATGGGCCAAATTTCGCGCAAAGAGCAAAGTTGAAACGTGTCAGTATTTTGTATATAACTACTTGACCGAATGGGAAATTAAGGTTACCGCAACCACCGGCCTCTTCCAAACCAATCGTCTAGAGACGAGTGGAATTTTACTATGCAATTCAACAGCATTAAAATACCCTACCGTATACCCCTCGCTTCAGTACCTATGAAAATGTCAGTGAAATCTGATCACAACCGGTACAGCTTCACGCGGAACCTTGAAAACAATTCAGGCATGCTCATTGGTTTAAATCCATCACAGGACTTATATTTCATTGGATGAAAATAATTAACGCATGGTGATTTGCCAATTTGAGACAACTAGGTACAACCTGGACCATGAAAATGTCCGATATGTTCCAAACCGGTACGTACAGGTCCAACCGGAGAAATCGTAGATACTGAAGCGGGGGGGTATATATACGGTACCTAACATACCTCTGAAGGTGATTGTCAAGATTATGCCTGATTTCGGGGGATTATTCCTCAATTTACATATTTCTGGCTCGTCACTAATCTTGCGAAACACCAGGCAAACTGGTTTTACAGCCTAATTACTATTGTCAACTCGATTCGAAACTCGAGCCCTCAGCACAATCATCGAATGTCTTTAGTGAATGGATTCAAGAACCACCTAAGGTTAAGCCAATTAAATCTCGTTCTGGTGAATTTCTGCCAATCCAAACGTTTGACTCGACCTTGTCCCGCTGCATGGGGCAAAACCATATATATATACATACAAACTATACAAAGCTCAGTATATATATATATATATATATATATATATATATTGAGCTTTGTATAGTTTGTACAAGCTTAAATCGATTCGAATGCGATTTGGCGAATTGACTCAAGTCCAAACTTGGTTGGTGAAATGCACAACATGATGATGAACGATAGGGAATACTTCTATGGAGCATAAAGGTTATTTGCGGCGGGCTGCACCGCCCCCCACGGCGGACGTGGCTCCGCTCGAGGCGCGGGACGTCCCTGACGACGCGACGCGGCTGCCGTTGGCCGACGACCGGCGCGGGGTCGGCCCCTTCGCTTGGCAGTTGCGGACGAGCCACGGGTGCTGCAGCGCCTCTTGTAGTGTGATGCGCGTTTGTGGGTCTTTTCTCAAAAACTAGTCACACTCAATATTGAGTCTGTTGAGTTTCATACTTGTACGAACCCGCTTGATCAGGTCGCGGGCGCCATCCGACACGAAAAGGGGGACGCGGTACCTGGCGTTGACAATCAGCTCGGACGTTTTGGACTGATCCTGTGGATTCGTTTTGGTCATGTTAGTAGTAGTAGTTACTAGTAGTACACGATGGGTACTAGGAGGAAGAGTCGGGCGTACCTGCGCTTCAAACGCTGGTTTCCCCACAAGCAACTCAAAGAGGAGCACGCCGATTGCCCAAATGTCCACCGATGCATCGTATTGGCACCCCTGGGTACACAAAGAAATATAATTAAAATTTAAAAAAATTAGAATCAAACGAGGGTCCGGAGATCGGAACGTTCGTGGAACGTTCTTTCATGCGACGACGTACGTTGAGCATTTCCGGCGACAAGTAGTCGAGTGTCCCACACAGCGTTTGGCGGCGATTTCTACAAGTAGTCACGTTGAATAGTCGATTTGATACAAATTTGGGGGTCGACCAAACCGAACCACAATCGATCGGATTGGTTGAATTTCATTGAGAAATGGGTTTTGATTGGCTAATAATGTTGAGCTCATCTGAGGTAGCCAATCAAATCGATTTCAATTCCAACGAGAAACCACGCCTCAAGGAAATTTCACTCAAAAGCACAATACTAAAAAAGAGTAACCACAACCGCATCGCAGTATACAGAAGAATACATCAATAGATAAGAACCATAAATACTCATCACATGAAGATGAATGTTGTACGAGGCAGTGACGTTGGCGGCGGACCATCCAAAGTCGGCCAATAGGATTTCGTCCTACACAGAGCACACAAACCACGTCACACATATGGGATACCAGGTCGAGAATACAAGTGTACGTCGTTGTCGAGAAGGATGTTCTCAGGCTTGATGTCGCGATGGACGACGTTGTGTTGATGGCAAGTCATGATGGCCCTAAGATAGCACTGCTCCATGAGACGACTCCACAGGAAAACTTGACGAAGCCGACTCGACGAGCTGGTGGACGATGCGCGCGGCCGTCCGTTCGTCAAACCTAGCTCAGGGGGGGGGGTGAGATGCACTGGAAGCAGGAACGAGATCACGAACCGGCCGCATGGAGCAGTGCGCAGAGCCGAGAAGAGGTCGCCGTGCGGTGCATATCGCAACACGAGGTACACTAGCAACACCATGAAATATATCGACGTCAACATACGATGATGATGATATCTACCCCGAGAGTCATCCTGGAAGGTGGCGTAGAGGGGCAGAATGTTCTTGTGGCGAATGCGAGAGTGAATTTCGACTTCGCGCCGCAGTTGCTGCACAACTCCACCCACCTACGACATGAGAACTATGACGACGATGCAAACAGGTCCTTGGGTACCCGAAGCTGCTCCTTCTCCAGCGTCTTGATGGCAAGAATGCGTTTGGATGCCTTTTCTCGAGCCAAATACACTTGTCCTACACACACGCCATCAACAGCGAACGAGACAGACGTGGATGTTGCAGGCACGTTGTACCAAACTTGCCGCGGCCAAGCGTACGTCCGATGTCGAAGTCGTGGATGGTCCAGGATCTTGTGGTTGTTGGGTTGTTTTCCTCTGGCTGCTTGGGCTCCGCCGTGCTCCCCTGATGCTGGTCATTGTTGTCCATGCTGACGATCAGCGATTTTTCTGCAATGGTGGATTACCTCTGTCATATTATATATCCTCCTACCCCAACCATATTAAATCACACGGTTTTGGTAGTGTTTGGAAAATTGCAATTTTCCGAATTTTGGGACGAAAATGGATCAAATTACAGTGAACGAGGGAACCTGTAAGCCACACCGAAGTTCGTCTGAATATTGCTATACTTAACCAATCAGAATCCTAGCTTTCAAAACAGTTGGTTTGATTTGTCAAAATGATCAAATTTGACCAATCAGACTTCAAGATTTCGATTCTACTTCGATTCAAAGTGTGGCTTAAATTCCCTCGTTTACTGTATACTTGGAGAATTCGAAAATCGCGAATAATGGGGTGACAAAATATTCTTATGGAACAATCATCAATTTGCCGAACTTCTTGCCCATTAGAATGTCAGTATTGATATGATTGGATAAAAAAATTGCCCGCAGCAATGAAACCCTTTGTGAGTTAGTATATTGCCCCAGCAAATATCAATCATTTGTTGGTCATCCAATCACGGGGCCGAATTTTGTCAGTTTTGTGTCGTGTCTGTCTTATATGTTAACGTTACTTTTATCAATAACGTTAATGCCGTAGTAGTATAGAGTTTCATTCTTGTTCGGAGGTACAGTTGAACCTATGATAATTAATTTCTCTATAAAGGAATAGTACCTGTATAAATAGATATTTTCATCGTTTTTTAATTAAGTCTAAACTTCACAGTCAGCAAATCAATGAACTGCTGTTTGGAGTGGACTTTTTACAATTTTATTACTTCAATTCCTAACATTTAAATTGACTTGTGTTTGAATCTAACTATTGAGCTTGGGCTATTAATATCTGTAAAGTATAAAAATTCAGCTGTTATTGCCAAGTTCAAGTTGTAAAAACTGCATGAGATATTAATACTGTATGCTACACAATCTAACAATAAATTCGGCAAACCAATGCTTTTGTTCCTACTTATTGTGCTTTGCACCTTTTTTGGCAATTCCAGGGTTAAATTCATTGTTTAAAAATTTCTCAGGCTTAAATAATGTCTAAAGTAACTTGAATAACGGTTGGGTGCGTTGTTTAAAGTTACTTCATCTAATGCGATGATTGGTTGGTTGAAGGTGGTTTTACTGGCACTTTCGTAAAACAAGTTGTTTGCCGTTTTCATTCTGGCAAACAACTTGCTTTATGTCAACATGTCAAGGTGCTTGACGCAATGAAACTGAAGGAGCTATGGCCACATACATGACCTCCCATCCGTGATCACTACAGTACTAACATTATCTACTCCGAGTAATGTATATAACGTTAGGGATATAGTTAGGCTACAGTACATGTAGTCGTCGCTCTGTCCAATGATTCAAAGCTATGCCATACCTTCAACTCTTGATCTGCTCTAACCTTAGCACTGTACGTGGAAGGCAATGGCGCATTACGACTACATGATGTATAGTACTCCCATTTCACATCCTAATACGGTATGCATCGTGATGAACTGGTGGTTGTACGGCGTAAATTGGCC